GGGGGAAAGTAACGCTTTAAGCTTCTACATTAAAGCCATCGTGGTTACTTGAGATGTGTATAAACAACCAGGACCCTTCTGAGAAAAAAAAAAAAAAAAAAGGATCAGTTGACGGCTATTGCTGCCATCTGAGGGAAAGAACAGTTACTGCAGCCAACTGGACACTGGAAGGCAGCATCACAGAAATCACGGCAACTATTCTAAGAGCATCACTGCTCACAAGTGCCCATTCCAAAACGTCAAGAAATCCTCACTCATCTTTTAAGCAAGGTAACCAGAGATGAAAGACAAGAAATTCAACTCTCCGTCAGTGTTGAAAGTCTAATTTATTGCAATAGCAAGTGTCATGATTAAAAATGCTGGTTAAAATGATCAAGTATCTAAATAATTTTTCTAATGTCAATACTAGAAACGACAACAATTCTATAAGTGCACAAAATATTGAAAACATAGTATCATGCACAAGGCCAAAGGGTAACATTGCACGCTGTCCGCTGTCTGTCCGTCTGCTGGTCGCAGTGTCGCACCACCTGGAGACGGTGTGTTGAGTCCTCAGACCACAAGCCACAAGGGTCCAGTGCTCTGGACACTCGCCAGCTACCAACACTAATGCTGCAGCTCCGCTGACCGCTGTCGGCGTCCTCAGGACGTGGCTGTTTTCGCTTCCTTCTCCCGATAGGTCGCAGATAAAAAAAGGATGGGCTAGAAAAATGGTTTATAAGAACCAATTTGGGGTGGATCCCCGTGCTTCCTGTGGAGGCGACATCAAGTTCGACACAAAGGACAAAAAGGGCACCAACATAAACCCAAAGAAGCCCTCACCCTCTGCTTGCTCCTGACCCTCACACACCTCCAGGAGAGGCCAGCGCCAGCAAGCACAAATGGGGCAGGGACAGGAGACACCGGAAAGGGACAGGGAAGTACAAAGTTTAAAAGGAAATTTCAAAGAATTGTCTGTGTTCTCCTCCACTTAAAGCAGGAATGGGTTCCAGTCCAGCTTCCCTCCCTGCATCCCAGAGGGGCTTTTGGGTGATTTTGTAACTTATTCTGTGCAAACAGCTATTGACCTTTAAATGATGTGAGGACTTAATTGTTCCCTCCTAAAAAGAGGTTCCCCCAATGTTTTGTTGTTGCTTGCTCTTTTTTTTTTTTTTTTTTTTTTTTTTTTTTTTTTTTTTTTTTTTTTTTTTTTTTTTTTTTTTTTTTTTTTTTTTTTTTTTTTTTTTTTTTTTTTTTTTTTTTTTTTTTTTGTCTTTTGTTTTTTGAGACAGGGTTTCTCTGTGTAGCCTTGGCTGTCCTGGAATTCACTTTGTAGCCCAGGCTGACCTCAAATTCACAGAGATCTGCCTACTTCTGCCTCCTGAGTGCTGGGATTAGAGGCATGCATGCCACCACACCCTACCCAGGTCCCCCAAAAGTTGAGGAACATCACAGATATTATAGGTTTAGACATTTTCGAAACACCAAGAGTCTGAACTTGTTTTTAACAAGGGGCAGGATTTTTTTTTTTTTTTTTGCAAATGAGCATGAAACCCCCACAGATTACATGGTTGTGTCAAGGAGAAGACGGGGAGCTGGATATGATGCTTACTCCTCTGGGATAACATGCACGTGAGAAGGTGGAGTCCCATCAAATGCACCTGGTCTAACGGGGGCTTCAGATCCTTCATCCCCGATAAGCTCCTGGCAGATGTTGATGCTCTGTGTGGATGAGACTCTGAGATGAGCCTACAGTGTACACGAGAATGCCAGTTCTCCTGGGCTTTAACCCATCTGCCCCAGCACATCCCGAGAAAAATCGGAGCCGATGGAATGACCTGTTTGTTACAAATAAACCTCATCTTTCGTTTACAGCATCTTCCCTCGGATGATCACGACATAAAGGTATAAAAAACTCAGCGTATTAAAATCCGTAAGAAAACACCACATGTGCACACGTGTATACGTACAGTACAAATACTAAGAGACTCGATGCTTTCCGTCAGAATAAAGCGCTACCACTGTTCCCAACTGAAATCATCTCCTCTTCCGAAGACGAGGAAAAAGCCTTGAATCGTGAGGAAAATGACAGCATTGCCAGCCAGCACAAGGCCACAGGCTCCCCACTTGATCTGAAACGCAAGAGAAAGCGTAAGTCGTCTTCAGGCTGGACTCTTCCTAAGTCTCTCATTCTCTGCACCAGAAACCCCCACAGAAACGCCACAGGGAGCTTCTCAGTCATTAGTTAATTGAGTCCATGATGCGTTTTAATTAAGTCTAGTATCCTCCTTAACACTGTCCCTGTAGAAAGGTCTCTGCTTGCTTGGTTTTAGCTGACAATAACTGCCTCAAGCAAAACACAGGTAAGCAAGATGACTGATGATCAACTCCAACATCAGGTGCGAACGCTCTGCATGCCTCAGCCCCTTTCACAGAGAACGGGAACTGAAAGTCCCGCATGCTTGCGGCTTTCCTAGGCAAGGACACTTTACACAATGATCTGCATTCATAGGAAAGCATTCTAGCTAGGCATGTCGGTTGATGGAAGCATAGCTGGGGACGAGAGTACCCTCTAGTGGGCATTTTTTTTTCTTTTGGCTTCAAATTAACCGACAGAAACATCAATGAAAGTTTCTTCATAACCACGGTGCTGAAAGCGCAAACAGGAATCCTTTGGCTGCAGAGTCAGAGCAGGGCCAACTTGTGTTCAGAGCTTCAGAGGCCGCATGGCTTGAGTAAGTTCAGGCTGAGGCAGCATTAGGGGCTCTGGCTCAGTGGCCTCAGAGGCATTTCCGGCCTTACTCTCAGGGCCTCCTCTCTGCTCCATCATATCACTGTTCTTTATTCCACACGCTGCATTTTCACACTTGGGGGCCGCCCCGATAGCCTTCTCTACTTTAACCAAAACCCTATTTGGCTCTAGAGGCCCAAATCAAGCAGCGACTGGCATTTCTCTCTTCCTGGTACTCCTACGGTATTATCAATTTTCCTCCCTATATGGAGTGTCCTTTAGCATACGTCCTCATCAGGACATGGTGGTGCTCTATGAGAGCCGACAGTCTGGACGTCTCAATCCTGGCATTTCATAAATGGTATTTAGTGCTGAATGCATAAACAAGATTTGTATCTATCTGTACTGTTTGATAGCCAATGTGGTTGGCAGAATAAAAACAAAGAGTAGGAGAACTGGAGAACATCAAGAAACTGAATAAATTATACCCACAGTGTTTGTTTTACATGCCAAAAGAATAAAAAAAAAGCCTACACTGATTGTGGTGATGTCATCAGTCACTAGAGATTCCTCAGTATGTCCCAGAGTACTGAGAATACGTTCCTGGTTTTAATTTGATATGACCTTCACTTTCTGATTGTCTTAGCAGTGTTTCTACCGTCTCTATGGATCGCCCTGCGGTACAAGAGGCAGGAATCTAAGAATGATTGAAAAGAATGGCTTAATGTGGAAAAGGCAAGAAATCACATGATTTGACTAAACGTAGTGAGAGAAAGAAAGCATTTTGAAAATTCGATCAAGACACTGATGAATCTCAAGTAGGAGAGATAAACTCAAGCTACATCTGGCTTCACGGAGAGTCGAAGTAATGGTAATGAACTTGAGGTCTCAGGCGCAGGCCTTCGAAACGAACCCCGACTGCCGAGTAAAACAATAGAAAACAGAACTCACCACAGACACGCGAGCCAGAATAACGGGAAATCCAAAAGCAGAAACAACAATCCCAGTCGTGAAGAAATACGCCAGCTCCCGACAGGCACTGCTGGTCGCATCGGAGTCATATGTGACCCGCTTGGCAATGAAGTAGGGGACGGGCGAGATGACGTAGAAAAGCAAGACGAACAGAGGCCAGTAAACGCTGTCATCAGTGGAACCAAGACGAAACCCAAGAAATGTTACATCTTAACTCATAGCATACTGTTGTTTTAATATCATTTTATATATCTAAGTAAAAACATTAATCAACTATGAATATTATCACATGAAAATATTTCTACCAGGCATAGAAATAGTTAGAAAAAATGTTACTTATTCACTAATACATATGTAGCTTATATTATGTTAAGAAACAACTATAGGGTGTTATATTACAAACCTATAGTTTTTTGCAGTGCAGGGGACTGAGCCCAAGACTCTGGACAAGCTCGGCAAGAACTCTATCACTGAGCTGTACAGCTGGCCATGACCAGCAACTCCAAGGACAGGATCTTAAAAAGCCACCTCCACTTTCCCTACAGAACACAATCCAGTGGTTTATACACACTAGTTTCAGGAAGATCTTTAGGGCATGCAGGCACAAAAGCATCCGATGATTTAAAATGAAACACAAACCAGGCTTCATATCCATTGCTTTCATTTCTTCTATTCATTCTGGACCAGCCCACCCTCACTCTCTTAGTCTGCAGCCACCACAGCCTCCTCCCTGCTCCAAGCACGCTCAGGTCTCACGCTTGCCTTGGGCTCTTCTCACCGCAGTGCAGTCTAAGCTGGGAGATCCCTTCCTGGAGGTGACCCCAGGGATCCCTGCCTACAACGCCCTTCCTAGCTTTCTGCACAGCACCACTTGGTATCTTTGCTCTCATTAGAACAGAGATGTGATTTGTCTTAGTCAATCTCCACTTGTTAAATAGGTGGGGGGGGGGGGGACAAAAGAATTTAGTAATGAAGGAACGAAAATGCACATTTGTTCACTAGATGTACCCAGCCCTACCTTCTATTACAGTAGATTACAAATGTAACCCTACACAAAGGAGCAAAACCACCCGTTAAGAATAGCCATAGCCACTGAATTTCCCATTGTTTTCCCTGTAAATACTTCCAGAATAATCTATCAACCTTGTCGCCTTTGGTTAGATACCCATTAAAGAACAACATACAGGCCAGTCATTATCATAAACACATGGCACAATAACACACACCGTCGCCAACCTGTAATCACACAGATCCACCCACACAGCAAGCACCCCTGGGGTGAAGTCACAGACATAGGAAGTCAGGGTGATAACCAGGAAGCAAGAAGGGAGTGTCCTTCAGCAGGCAGACTCGGGATGGACACAAGAATGCAGGCTCCTCATCTGAAACTTCAGAGGTGATTAGAACATATTCCAGAAATCACTGGAAAGGACTGCCAGGTAACAGCAGGACCAAGACAGCGAGGAGCAAGTCACAGAGCAGGGACCTAAGTGCCACCTGCACTCTCCCAGGAACGCTGTGACAGTTTTCTGAGGCACAATCTAAGAGACTGTCCCCAGCAGAGCAATCCTCCTGCAAGGGAACATCTCGTGTGGAAGCAGTCTTTTCATATGTAAAATTCAGCATGAACCTAACATGATTCACTAAACAGGAAGGCCAAAAACTGGCAAACCCTTTTCTGTAAAAGACCAAATAGAAAACACGAGTGGCCAGGCAATCGCAGGTCTCTGTCACCTCTACACTCTGCCACTGTGGAGCAAAAGTGGTGACGGTGGTCCCAACAAGGCCTTACCCACAGAAGTGGGCAGCGGCTATACAGGCCAGTGTGCCAACTTCTCATGCAGATGAAAACCCCAAGTTACTGTCACAGACGAGTCTCTTTGTGGCAGCAGTGACGAGTGCTGCTCTCATCCCACGGAGACATGCCACATTACAGAGAATCCAAACACCGGGACTCAGTTAGTCATAGAAGGACAGACAGTGCCAGGGCCGAGAGGCAGAGCAGAGAGCCACATCGCCCGTTGACCACTGGGCAACCAGCAAGGCTTTCGCTATGCTGGGCTTTGGCTTCCCAGGCAGGAAAGGGAACGACATTACCCCTCTGCAAGAATACAGTGATAGCCGTGAAAACTCCGAACAAGTGTTTCTGCTTACATCATGTTTCAGTAATGTGTGTGGTCACTTCTAACTCCATGGCAGAGTTGAATCAGTAATGTTTTCCTGGTGAGTTTTTTGTTTTTGGTTTTGTTTTTTATTTTTTGCCAACTTGACACAAGCTAGAGTCACTTGAGAAGAGAGAACCCCACTTGAGAAAACACCTCCATGAGATTGGCCTATAGTCTTGCCTGTGGGGCGTTTTCATGATTTACGATTGATGAGGAAGGCGCAGTCCACTGTGTGTGGTGGCACCCTGTGGTACCACCCTGAGCAAGTGGTCCTGGGGATATAAGAAAGCCAGCCATGAGGAGCAAGTCAGCAACCCGCATACTCGCGACCTCTGCTTCAGCTCCTGCCTAGACTGTCGCCCCTGACTTCCCTCCCTGAGGAACTACAACTATAGAATGAAATAAACCCTTTCTCCCTAAGATGCTTTTGGTCATGGTGTTTTATCCCAGCAACAGAAAACCTAAGACCGAGGTCACAAAAACTGGTCCTAGCTGGTCTCAGCAGCACATTTTTAGGTCAAGGCATCCAAGCCACTCACCACTCATTCGAGCTGGCAGGAACTTGCTAGAGCCCCGACCTCAGTGAATAAAGACTCCTGCCACCTACACAGTCCATTTCCTTCCATTTCTACTACTCCAGGCCCCAGTTTTGCTCTAGCTCTGGTAGGGGCCCTTAGGCTCCTCCTGGACTACAGTCTCAGTTAACACAGTCCTAGCCTCAAGGAAAGCTTTCCCAGCTCTAACCTCCTCCATGGGGCCTGCAAGGTGGCTCTACACGCTGGATTAATCCTTCCTGAGTGGGCTGTAGGATAAAGGCTACTTACTGACTGTTCCCTATGCCTGGGATGCAGAGAAACTCTGGCTCATCCACTAAGTCTCCGCTCAGGAGAACCGTGCAGGTCTGCCCTCTGTGCTCCCACTGTCTCTATGCTCTTGTTTCCTCAATGAATTGTCTCCCCCACCCCCACACTTCACCTGCAAGCTCCTGAGGGCAGAACTCATTCTCACATCCCCATGCTCCAGGCTCAGAGCTGAACAGCTGTTTATTAAATGAATACATCCGGTTTTTTTGTTTGTTTGTTTGTTTGTTTGTTTGTTTTAAAAAAAGAGCTTTCTCCACATAACTACACTGGTGCCTAAAGGCGCTGAATTCCTAATCTGGACCTCACCAATTTGTGCATTACAGCAGGGGCCACACTGCTCAGACTCTGATAGGAACAGTAACAGAGACACAAAGAGAAGACTCTTGGAGAACTGGGGAAACAGCTCAGTAGGCAAAGTGCTTGCTCTGCAAGCATAAAGACGGGAGTTCAAGTCCTAGTATTTATGTAAAAAGCTCGATGCAGTGGTGTGCATCAGTAAACCCAGCCCCCAAGGGGGGGGGGGATGGTGGTGTAGAGACAGGAGGATCTGCATAGCTTGCTGGCCTGTCTAGCCAAATGAGAAAGTTCCAGGTTCACTTAGAGACCCTGTCTCAAAAAAAAAAAAAAAAAAAAAAAAAAACCTGTAGAGACTGGAAGACATATCACCGACATATTACCTCCACAAATAACTACATACACTCCCTGCGTGTGTGTGTGCACGCACGCACACACACACACACACAAACACACACACACAGAGCAATTCCTTTTCCAAACAACTTACCCATAGTCCTCCAAGGCACACCCCAGCATAAGAAAAGTCAGTCCAATAGCCCCGCTGAAGGACAGTGCCACGAGAGCTGTGGAAAACACAGGTAAAGGTTAAAGGGTCTACCGTGGTTAGTTACGGGCAATAGGTCCAGAAGCCACTAACAGGTACAGCGTTTTGTTTAAAAGATGGCAAATGTCATGGGAAAAGATGGCGTGTTGCAGCACAACCTTGTGAGTATGATAAAGTCAGTAGAACTTTACCTTTAAAAAGGCTGAGTTTGTGGTATCTGAATATATCTCAATAACACATTTTCTCTTCAAAGGAAGCACAGGGGGCTGACAGGATGGCTCAAGAGATAAAGGCGACTGCAGCCAAGCCCTACAACTTGAGTTCAATCTCCGGGACCCACACTCTGGAAGAAAACCAACTCTTTCTCGCCCCACAGGTCTGCTATGACATGTGCACACCCACAGACATTTTTAAAATGAAATTTAAGGAGAGCTTTTAAGCAAATTTAAGAACTGTAGCAATGTGCTTATGATATTAATTGATGTTACATCTGACTATCCAGTGAGTACTACCATGTGACTGAAGGTCTGTGTACTTTCTAAATTTACATATTTGAAATCGTAACTCCTGGTGAGATGGCTTTAAGACGTGAAGCCTTTGGGTTTGCTTTCTTTAAAACAATGCCGTCCAAGCTGGCTTCCGACAGGAGATCCTCCTGCCTCCACAGCTTGGGAGCTGGGATAACAGGCATGCACAGCCATACATTGAGAAAGTCGCTGTATTTAGATGAGAACATGACGGTAGAGTTGACAGGATCAGTATTCTTGTCACAAGAGGAAGAAACTACAGTTCCCTGTTTGACTCTGTCTGCTCCTGAATCTTGGACTTCCTGTCTCCCAGTACTCAGGATGAAGCCATTTAAACTACCCAGTTTGTGGGTGCTTTGTTGCAATAGCCCAAAGTGAGAACAACGCCTGCCGGCGTCCACCCCTTTAAAACCAAAGGTGAAAGGTCTCTGGCCAGTCTGGCAACCTGCCCCTACCTGCCACATGGGTTCTCTCTACACTTGCCAGCGGAGGACAGGCAGGCTTGTCACCACCCGTGGGGAGCTCACCACACAGCTTCAGAGGAGACTGTCCCCAGCTAATAGCCATAACAGAAATCCCCACAAGCACTGGAAACTCACATCAAAGCATCCAGACCTTTCCATTTTTCTACATGACTGCCCTCGAGTTAACTCTCAGATACCAAATGGGTCATTCAGATATCAATGATGCAACCAGCGGTTGTATGACCTTAGGCAGCTGGAACTCTCTGCGCCTAGTTTCTTACCTGTAAAATGGCAATGGTGGTCCTACTTCATTTGAGTTTATGGAAATTAAATTAAGTTAAATTAAGTCGTCATACACACTGCTTGACAAAGGGGACTCAGCTGACGCTGGCTATGGCAGGTTTCCACTCACCTAGTTATGGTATTTGATAAAATAACAAATCAAAAGCACAAGACACTGAATCATCCAAATTTCCTTCCTAAAATCCCTAATATAATTAGTCACTGACTAGTGAAGATTTATTTGGGGAGACGGTTCAGTAGAAAGATACCATTATGCTTTCCAGGAAACCCGGATAAATACAGACGTCAGGGGATGAGGAAGGATTTCTATCTTAGTTTCTACCTTTTCTGTTAATATGGTATTGTTCAAAAAAAATAGGGTATTGTTCATGGACAAATATCTGTGCGTTTAAAAGTTGCCTGGCCTTTTCCTTGCAGCCTTGTCCTGCTCCTCTGTGACAAACAGCCTGCGGTGTTCTCTCTTCCGGGAACCTAGGGCATGTGAACCACAGACCTACTTCTTCTTTCTGTTCCCAAACCATCTCGAAGCGAACAACCGTATTTCTGCTCAATGCCTTTAAGCCCTGCGTGTGTGCGTGCGTGTGTGTGCGTGCGTGTGTGTGTTCAGGAACTGCATTCTCTGCCTAGTCCCTCTCTTTTTAAATCATGTATAAGAATGATGTGTGCGTGTGGAGGGGGATATATGTGCCACAGCACAGGTGAAGACAACCTGTGAAGTCAGTGCTCTCCTTCCCCTTCCCATGGGTTGCTGGGATTGAACTGAGATCACTCAGCTTGCACAGCAAGCACCTTTACCTGCGGAGCCGTCTTGCCACAGTTTCTTATTTTCCGTTGGAGCTAACCAACAACTCAAGACCCTCTCTTTTCACTTTACCCTTGACTGCCGAAAAGTTAAGGTCAACTCAAAGCTCTCAGAACAAGGTTATAGAGCCCAGCTATAACGAAAGCTCCGGTCCACAGCAGATCCTAAGAACTCCACTTCTAATCTGGACTACTGTGCCCACAGAGCCAAAGCCAACAAGGACCTCAAATCCAACAAGTAAAATGACCTCCCACACCTACCCCATCTCCACCCTTCCAAACACATGCTTCTTCTTCTCCTGAAGATCAGTCTTCGAGGACTGAAACCATAGCCGTGCTCTCCAGCAAATTAAAATAACTCACTTTACCCAGCCCTCAGTCAACACAACCGTCTTCTCTTGAACGCTTTGCTCCTGCGTCAGGGCAGCCCCTATGCTCTGCTCTCCCGCTGCTGCCAACTGAACCTCTTCCTATCATCCTCCACCCAGATGACCAGGTGCCCACATGTCACCTTGCATTCTGGTCACAGGCTGCAAGTTGTTTTATCACTAGAGGCTCACTATAATCTGACCCCTAACTTCTCCAGGGTCAATCCTCCTCCCCTTCACCGCCAAGTTCCTGAGGACAAGAAAAGAAGATGTGTTCTTTCATGACCTCTGTCCTGGCCATATGTTGTGCTGTCCAGTTGGAATATATTCCGGTCTCAATCCACCCCTTACAGAGCCCTATACATCCCTGAAGTACTCCTTCTTCTAGCACCTTCCCCCATGGAGGAGATTCACAGTGGATTACCACAAACGGGGTGACTGATAATTCTCCTAGTCCTGGAGCCAAAGTGTTGGCTGGGCCATTCTCCTCCTGAAGGCTGAGGAAACAAGCTGCCTTCCTAACTAGTGCCCAGCACCGCTGGAGTCCATACTACTGTTTGGCTTGCAGCGACACCACCCCAATTCCTATTATTGCTTTTGTTATAATTTTAAAAAATTATTTATTCAGGTTTATCTAATTATGGGAGTGTGCCATTGTGCATGCACACATGTGGAGGTCAGAGGTCAACTTGTAAGAGTTGGTTCTCTACCCTGTGGATCCCAGGGATCAAACTCAAGTCTTAAGGCATGGCAGAAAGTGCCAGTAGTTCCCAACCTGTGGGTTGTGACCCCTTTGGAAGGCCAAAAGACCCTTTCACAAGGTCACCCTAAGATCATCAGAAAGCAGATATTTACATTACAATTCATAACAGTAGCAAAATTACACTTATGAAGTAGCAACGAAAATAATTTTATGGTTGAAGGTCATCACAACATGGGGAACTGTATTAAAGGGTCGCAGCATCAGGAAGGTTGAGGACCACTACCTTGTAGGTAGCCCTCAGCTTCCATCCTTATGGGGTGCTTTCTCTGTGAGTCTTCGAAGACAAATTTCTCTCTTATCTGAAGGACATCATGCAAGGCAGTACTACCTTGGGTTGGGAACATCTGTTGTTTACAAATAAGGTCACACCCTTATTTGACATTAGGGAGTTACAACTTGAACATATCTTTAGAGGGACATGATTCACCCCAACATATTATCTCTATGCTCCCAACTGTCTCCGAGCACACCTCATCTACTTACCCAGCAATAGAATTAGCTGCAGTTGTCAACCCAGTAAAAAATTCTCATTTATTTTTTATCCTAAGTCTCCAATATAATCTTTCAATAACAGTTGAATTGCCTGCAAAATTTTTTACTTTGCTTAGTTCGTGTCCACTCCATAGCCTGTGTTCCTTTTCACTACTTGATCTCTAGCGCTCGCACACACACACACACAAACTGCTACTGTTTTGTACTTTCTGGCCATGACCAAACACTATAGCAGTGAGACACCATTTTTCCTGTTTTCGGCACTTCCTTCATATGGATATATTATATAGTGGACGCTGCCCAAGTAAATCACGTTTACTAAGATAGCTTCTCACAAAGATACATTCGTAGTGCACCCAAAGTTCACACATGCGTATACACTGTGTTCATCTGTGCACATGTTGGTTAGTGGTAAGGTCTTAGTGGACACTTTTCAAAGAAAGGAAGTCCAATACAGAGACAAGTTAGTCTACTACGTGCAGATGATCAGAAACCCAAATAGCAGGAAGCCTTCCAATAACTACGTTCCCACTCGGGATCCCCATTGCTCTTCATTCATCGGGATGGTAATCTGGGCACGCCCTTTTATTACCATTCAAAAACACAAAACAGCACACCCTCTGCTTTGTCTGTTCACAGTCGAGTTAAAGAAAACACTCAAGAAAGTACCAAAGTCTTGTTAAAAATCCCACCTAATCACAGCCCCAAGGTTGCGACGAATAGAGTATTTCCGGTTACTTTTCACTGCTAAACGCCCGGAATTAATTCTGCCCATCTAGAAAATCGTAAGAAACAACAGACCCAAGTTTCCAACACCCAGCCTGGAGACAAAGGCTTCTCTGTAAGCCACAGGAAACTGCGGAGGAGCAGGAAGGTGAGGTTGTGGGACCCTGGTGTGACCTGCGGAGAACTGACAAGCCTAGGAGGCGACAGGGGAATGCACATCCCACAGGGGAAGACCCCACTAGGGGTCTGGCGGGCGTGGGCGCGACCGTTTATAGGGTCCGCGAAACACCGCTGCAGCGCACCCGGGAGGCCGGGGTCTGCAAGAGCCCGCACGCTCAGCACGCCGCTCGCCGCACAGTTCGGAGCCGAGGCGACCCCAACCACCAGCCGCGAGCGGGGGGGTCGCGGTGTACCTTTAACGCCCGCCATGTCTCTGGAGCTGAGGCCGTCGCTGCTTCCGGCTTCCTCCAAAAGCCGCCCCAACCCAGACTAGCAAGGGCTGGTGTGCGAATCCGGAGCCCGCCCCGCCCCGCAGGGTCCCCCCCCCCCATGACATTATCCCCGCCCCAGACAATTGGGCCCCGCCCCTTTCTACAGGACCCGCCTCCTCTTGCTTTAAGCTCCCACCCCCCGCCGCGTAGCCACGCCCACGAGGCTAAAGCCCACCCCTCCAAATAGGTCCCGCCCCCTTATTTTGGGGGTTCCACCCTCAGCGCGCAAATTCCCGCTCCCAGATGACAGAGCCCGCCCCACCATGCAGAACCTGATTCCTACTGGGCTTGAATTCTGCCACTCATAACCTCACGCCTAGTTGCACCGGATCCTGCCCTACAAGCACTCAGCACCTCCTGTGGTGGTCCGGCCCACGGAGAACCTCACGCGGCGTCTCCCCAAACTTCGCGTATCTATAACTCCTCCCCAGTTCTCAGAGCCCCGCCCGGACCTACGACTCCACCCCCAGATTTCAGAGCCCCGCCCGGACCTACGACTCCTCCCCCAGATCTCAGAGCCCCGCCCGGACCTACAACTCCGCCCCCAGTTCTCGAGCCCCGCCAGGACCTACAACACCCCCAGTTTTCAGAGCCCCGCCCAGACATAACGACTCCTCCCCTAGCTCTCAGAGCCCCGCCCAGACCTACGACTCCTCCCCTAGCTCTCAGAGCCCCGCCCGGACCTACGACTCCGCCCCCAGTTCTCAGAGCCCCGCCCGAACCTACGACTCCGCCCCCAGTTCTCAGAGCCCCGCTTCCACGATCCTGCTCCATCTTGCAGAACCCCGCCTCCGTTGGATTGTTAGCGGCTCAGCCACTCAGAGTCCAGACACTACTGGTCCTAATGCCTGCCACTCAAACTTCCCTTACGTAGTCGCCAAGTCCCGGCACAGAACTCGGATCATAGTCTCAGCACCCCGCCCACTTTCACTACATCAGAATAACCTCTTAATTTTAACTCCAGGGATTCTAAGAAATCCTGAGACGTCCCAGCCCTGCTCCTCAATCTGAGGATCAAACCTCCCTCACAGTGGTGACTTCGGATCCAGATGCTGCCTCAGGATATTCTAGATGCTTTAACAGTTTGTATAACCTAGTGTGTCCGTCTATCTCCTTCATTCTTGCTTATTTGTAGCGGTAAGTACCATACAGACTCTTTCGGTCCGAAGTTCTCCTGAATCCTTAAATAAAGAGCTATTATTTCTGCAATGCGAATTTGCAAGCAATTGAGGCCAATTTTCACTCCCCCAGAGCCACTTTTTTCTTAACCTTCATCACCGGAATCTTCATCTTAGAAACCATCTAGTCGAAAACCTCCCCAGAAAGGGGTTCATAAAGGATAGAAACTGTGCCGAACAGCTCCTTAGATAAGGTTAGAAAGACAAAAACCACAAACACATTTTTGAGAGACACATTTGCATAGCATATTACAATATAACCTTTTCTAATTTATACTGTTAATCATAATGTAACCAGTACAAGGGAAGTCACTGTGCCACCGTGAGTGTGTATAGGATTAACAGTGTACACAGGGGCTGGTACTCTCTGCCGTGTCAGGCATCTGCCAGCATCGTGGACGATACAGCTGGTGACAAGGAGGCATTGTGGCACCCGGGAAAGCACGCAGGAAGTTGCTCAGTCGAACCTGTGTTTAAACCCTCCATTATAACCGCTGAGCCACTTTAGTGAGGAGCTAGGCTATTTTCCCACTTTAAATGATTAGGATACATTCTCCTCCCATCCTCAACCATCCAGTTTGTCCCCGAAAGGCCACACAGAGGGGTTTGCCAGAGACTTCTGTGTCAGCCTGCACCTAATCCCATGATTCGAGAGAAACTGACGTCCGAGATACAGTGTAGTGTGAATGCCCAAGGCTTGGAAAGAAAATGCCAGAAAATGGTAAGAAGGAGGAGAAAGAAGAGGAGGGGGAGGAAGGAAGGAAGGAAGGAAGGAAGGAAGGAAGGAAGGAAGGAAGGAAGGAAAGAAAGAAAGAAAGAAAGAAAGAAAGAAAGAAAGAAAGAAAGAAAGAAAGAAAGAAAGAAAAGTTAGTTATTGGCCCCTGGGTCGCGTTTGGAATCAGAACAATTCTGAGACAGTGAGTGTTTATCTCCAACTGCTTTCTGCCACACCAACTTTCAGTTCACTGAGCACCTTGCCAGAGGCTTTGAGCATCACCTGAGAAATCAGACTTCTTTTGCCAGACATTACACTGCAAAGCCATTGTGCTCACCCATTCATTCCACATTTCCACGAGAAGACCTGCCAAAACCTGCATTTCACCCCAACCAGCCATTCCTATGTTGTTACTTAACTGTCACTTACAAGACCTGGACCTCTGTCTCCCTGCCTACCACTAGAGCACTTAGGATGAATCTTAAGGTTTCCTCCTTGAGTTCAAGTTTCAAACGCAATGAACTCGATTTTATTATCTCTATTTTATAGCCAGTAAAACCAAGGCTCATATAGTGGCCAGGGAACAGGAAAGCTGAGATCAACCCCTGAAACACTCAATTTAGCCACTCACAACTGTTCTCTTCTTATAGTAGATCTTATGCTCAGAGGAGGCAGGAGTTGATAATAATACCTTACATGTAAAAGGGTATTCAAAGCAATTCATTGATTTCATATCAATCTGCATATTTACTAGTGTCTTGCCTGGGGTATATACCAAAGGTTGGCTCTATTAACTGTGGGGGAGCAAAAAAAAAAAAAGGTGTGATCCCTTTAACATTCATGAAGTTTGATGACCAATGCCACCATACCAAAACACAGGTTACAACAGAAAAATCACAACAAATTTATTTGATCGTAGTTTTAAATGACACAGGGAGCCTGCAGGTTGAAGAATCAAGGAGTCTGTGCATGCTATGCATTCTTATGTTTAGGATTGACAAAGCACTGACAGCCACATAGAAATATGATCAGTTGAATAGAATCTGATCTAACAGTGAAGGCTGCAGGGAAACCTGTCTATTCACATTCTTTTCCAGTGCTCCATACAGCACTCCTCCTTCCAGAGACAGCACAGGGACCCTTCCTGGGCTAGTGAGCGTAGGATCTAAAATCAAAGAAGATGAAAGAACTTCCAATGGTCAACTCTTACAGCAAAAGGGAGGAGAATGAAGGTTTTATGCTGTGGGATAATGCTCCTGTCCATTGTAAAGATTTGTCACTCATATTGGTTTAATAAAATCCTGACAGGCCAGTAGCCAGGCAGGAAGAATATATGGGGCAACCAGACTAGGAGAATTCTGGGAAGAAGAAAGGCAGAGGCACAGTCACCAGCCAGACACATAGGAAGCAAGATGAGATTGTCTTACTGAGAAAAGGTTCCAAGCCAAGCGGCTAAATATAGGTAAGAATTATGGGCTAATTTAAACTTTAAGAGCTAGTTAGTAATAAGCCTGAGCAATAGGACAACTAGTTTATAATTAATATAATCTCTGTGTGTTTATTTGGGACTGAGTGGTTGTGGAACCAGGCAGGACAGAAACTTCCATCTACAGTTCTATGTCTGGTTTTAAAGAAAAGGCATGAGTTCTATGACCTGCCTAGGCAAAAGTGAGTTCTAATCTCTATTATCTGCCTAGTAAAGGAAGATGGGAAATCAGAGAAATTTGTCTTCTGAGGTATTCAGTTTGTAGTCATTTTCTGAGCCCTGACATAGCAAATATTAGTAAGTTTACTATGAAAAGTATAGCTTCTCCCTATCTCATAGAAAATACCATTTTCAAACCTCAACTCTTACATGACCATACCCATAAGATCACCACAAGGTATCATATGTGCCCTACAGCAGGCTCTAAGGTCAGTGCATCAGTTAAACAGAAGCATGCTATAACACTAACAGAAACCAATAAACAGATTTGTCTTCCTTGCCCACAGCTATCCCATCTACAGAACCTACTAGCATCTGCCATTTTCCACATCCAGATCATACCCAAACCCCACCCCAAGAAGACAGGAAAAAGTGTTGGGGAGGAGGAGTTTCCAGAAGATTTTCCTGCTGTGGGACAATGCTCTGTACCCTGTCACTTGTATTTAAATAAATGCTGATTGGCCAGTAGCCAGGCAGGAAGTATAGGTGGGGCGACCAGGTAGGAAGTAGAGATGGGGTGATGAGAATTTGGGGAAGAGGAAACGGTCAGTCTGCAGTCGTCACCTAGAAAAAAAGGAAGCCAGACACAGAGAAAGCAAGATGTGACTGCCTCACTGAAAATGGTACCAAGCCACGAGGCTAACACAGACAAGAATTATGGGCTAATATAAGTTACAAGAGTTAATAATAAGCCTGAGCTACTAGGCCAACCAGTTTATAAATAATGTAGGCCCCTGTGTGTTTATTTGGGACTAAACGGCTGTGGAACCTGGTGGGACAGAAACCTCAGTCAACACTTTCCTACTCCTTTGCCCATTTCTCAAACTTGAGGGCTCCATGTAGTTCCAGCTTCAATACTATCAGTGCTACCCTGTCTTATCTATCTGTCGTGAACAGTAGCAATAGTTATTGGTCAGTATCCATGTGATAGCAATTTACATACACGGTCCCTAATTCTTCCACAGGGGAGCTGTGAAGAATCTATTTTACAAATGATAAAATCAGGACTCAGAGAGTATAAAGTATTTGTCAACAGATATTAAGTAGGAAAAAAAAACAGGATTCAAAGCTATTCTTTTAGTTTCAAACCCACACGTAGCACTGTGCTACAAAATGTATGCCTTATTTTTAGGATAATAAAAACTTCTTGGGGCTGGAGAGATGGCTCAGTGGTTAAGAGCATTGCCTGCTCTTCCAAAGGTCCTGAGTTCAATTCCCAGCAACCACATGGTGGCTCACAACCATCTGTAAAAAAGGTCTGGCGCCCTCTTCCGGCCTTCAGGCATACAGACAGAATATTGTATACATAATAAATAAATAAATATTTTTAAAAAAAAACTCTTGATTTGACCTACATTTCCTGGTCTGGTGCTTCCAGTATGGGAACTGACCTGTGCTATGAAAACTTGCTCTGGAATTCAACTTTCGTGATTTCTTACCAGGTGGGGTCTCACCAGTGGCACTGGTATTGACTTGAGCCTCTGAGTCTAGACGCACAGACACAGTAATAGCTCAAGTACTCTGGTACAAAGTGTACAAATGTTTCTTTCCTGTGGTAAAGTCCCAAACTATAGATCAGTCTCTATGACTCAACACACACACACACACACACACACACACACACACACACAGAGCTGAAAATGCATTCATATTCTGGTGATGAGAATGAGATTTCTATGTTGATTCCTTTTTGCAACACAGTATCGTTAGGCATGACGTGTGTGTGTGTGTGTGTGTGTGTGTGTGTGCGCGCGCGCGCGCGTGTGGGTGTGTGTGTGTGTGTCTGTCTGTCATTTTGTCTCAGGGAATAAATGACACTGGGAGACGGAAGTGTAACTGTAGAATCTTGTCAGGCTACATTTTGACGGAAATGTATTCTGCACTTTTCTCATTCTTTACCCTTACTGTTCCTTAAAAGCAAATCAGGTCAGCCAGTGGCTCTCAAGTTTGTCACTCCATTCCTTATCTCATTTGTTTGTTTCATATTTTTGAAAGATTTCTTTTATTTTTAATCAGGCCTATGGGGGAGGTGGTATGTGCATATCAGCAAAAGTGCCTGTGGAGACCAAAAGAGGGCACCAGATCCCTCCACAGCTGGAGGTACAGGCAGGGAGGGCTGAAAAGCCAAGTCAGGCCCTGTGCAAGAGAAGAGTTAGAGGCACCTTTAACCACTGAGTCATCTCTCTAGCCCAGTGTTTCTCAACCTGTGGGGTCACAGCCCCTTTGACAAACCTTTATCTCCATAAACATTGGCATAATGATTCATAATGGTAGCAAAATTAGTTATGCAGTAGCAACAAAAATAATTTTATGGTTGGGGGCCACCACAACATGAGGAACTGTATTAAAGGGTCAGAGCATTAGGAAGGTTGAGAACCACTGTTCCTAGCCCCTTATATCCCCACAAGTACAAAAATAACATATATTTCCACAAGTATTTTTTATCCTTTTTAATATACATTACAAATATTTTAGAACAATGACATTTTGTGTTTACCGTATTTACAAAACAAAAATATATTACAATAAATATGGATGAGACAGTGGGTCCGACCAACAACAAGCTGTCACAACCAGGTATTTAAAAGGCATGCAGAACCTACCGGTCTGCACGTGTTAAAAGTTCTGAGACAGACAGGCGTCCAGACTCATAATGCATCTGGGAAAGAGAGGTGGGAAACCCCCAGGCTTAAGGAGGGGTTCTTTCTCATTGCTAATTGCATAACATTTAGTGGTATTGGAACCATGAACATTAATGAGCTATGCAAACATAATACAAAGCTAATATAGTTCTATTGTCTCAAAATGTACGTGACAGCCACATAATATCCTCTTAATTGTTGTCATTATATACTGTAGTTCACACGATATCTACAAATGTGAATGAAGGAAAAAAACAAAAAGCTCAAAAAAACCAAAACAGGTCACAGCAACATGTCTCACATCCCAATCTTAAATAGGACAAGCACATACTGGGTAAGACATCATTGTATAATACGTTAATAAATAACACCTAGGTTGTTATGGTTACTTTGAACAGTTTACAGCTGTATATTTATAAGAGAGCATTTTTTTTTGAGAATTTCACATTATCAGTAAAAGGTAAAATAAAAAGAAGAACTTTTATAATTTAAAAAAAAAGAGAGAGGAGAGAGATCTATACAGAACAAAAGTATTTCTGACATGCTGCCTTTCTGGTTCCGTTTGTCACACAAGAATATTAAAACAGAAACAAACAAACAAAATGATTGTCTTCGAAAAACAACTTTTGGAAAGCTTTTCACAACAGTGAGTGTGACCTTTTTAAGATTAGAACGAATGTCTTTGGACCGCCTGCTCTGTGACTATGCATGTGCACAGTATACATCTACATATGCATGTATGGATAGACAGATGCTGCACATGTGCTCACCAGGAGACCTAGTGAAGTCCCAGCCGTCCAAGCTGCTTACCCTGCAGAGCGGGAAGCACTGAACGCTGGGCTGAAACATGACCAGCTGTAGCTCTGGGAAAGCTTCATTCTTGCATATTCCCCACTACAGGCATCCAACAGCAAACCCAGCAGATGTAATCCAGGAAGGGGGCGGGGTCCAGATTCACTGGGTGGGTGGGAATCTGGTCTCCCAAACTGGCAAGCTATCCCACTGGATCTGAAGGCACTTGCAGCTCTCTCCCCAAGGGAACCCTTCCCCTACTACTACTCCGCATTGTCCTCTCTGCTTTACCCAGAGCTCCTTACAAACCCCCAGAACACCAGATCCATCCAACTGTGAATGGGCCAAACCCGCCTTACAAACGGTCGCCCATGAAGAAGGTTTTCTTGACTAAGCAAAAGAAAGAACACTAAGCCAGGTGGGAGCCATTAGAAGGGGCTTTCAAACCGGTTTGGAGTTGTGGCGGTGGTGGGAGTGTCCGGAGGTTTGCCTTTAGTCAACCACGGATTTTTTTTTTTTTTTTTTTTTAAGGGAAAGGGAGCCAGCAGCCCAACATCTGTGACAGGAAGTTGAGCTCTGACATCTCAAAGCTCCAAGTTTCTTTAGCTATCCCATGCTTGGGTTTGCAGCTCATCCAGGAAAAGTCAGGGGTAATGCCTAGACCTGCAAGATCACATCCCACCATTTAGCCCCTTCTTTCATTGTTAACTCTCTAGAGCAAAATACACACTCTAAAGGAGGTAAGAGCTCTAGTGAATTTCCATTGAGAAATACTCGGTTGGTGATATCCATTGCTCACGTTACATCCTTTAGAAACAAAAGGCAAACAAAAATATCCCTAAATTAGTTCCTTAAAACCATTACGCAATCCAATTATCAAAACATCCACTCATAAATCGTAATCTTGGACAATGAGATGGATGTCATGCCTTCCACTTGGGTGGCCTCTGCCCCATTTCCCCAGGCAAAATGCTGAGGCGGCTTCCCAGAGGGCAAGCAGGAACGTCCTAACTCTGCAAGGTCAGCTTGCTAGAGTTCCTCTCGGTGCTATGGACTTTAAGAAACCAAACTTTCACATTCCTGACCATGAGAAATGAATTCGCGAGGAACTTAACAGTTTAGGACTGGAAATACATTACTGGAATTTTTGGTTCATCTGTGAAAATCTCAGAACTGTGATACACACTAAGCATTAACACAGGGCTGCAGCCAGCATAGAAAAAAGCTCACAGATTAATACAAGGGCTTCTGGCCTTGGTTTTCAAATTCAGACCAGGCATCGTTTAGCTCCATGAAAATCATCTTTGCATATTGTTCATAGGGTTGCCCAGTAGCCTAAAGAAAACAGAAAGCACAATTAGATGTTTAGCATTAAACTTATACTAAATTCACTAAGAATGTGGATTGCAATTAAAAATGTTCTTCCATTAAGACATTTCTTTTTACAGCCTACCTATATGAACTTCATTACCAAGCACTGCCCTGGAGACTCACAGAGACTAAGAGAAACCTACCAGTAAGGAGAAAACAGGGGGCTTGTTGGGCGGCAAAAAATACATCTCATTGTTAATGAAAGCCCTACGCGTAGTTGACTGTATTTCCAAGCCTCCTTTTTCCAATTTCTATAAAGTTAAGGTCTTTGAGACTCGTAATAGGGCAGTTTGCCCCATTTCTCTGGACTCCGATTTCTCTTCTGACTGATTGAAGTCCAAGCACTAACGTTGTTTCCCACAAATCATTGTGTTTGGTCATAAGGAGTGCCGAGAGGTGGAAACCGAACACGATTTCAAACATGCCATCCCAAAGGCACCACAGTCACGACTCCATGTCACAAATCTGCCACCGTTCACATGACAGCAGCTTTGGGGTGCTTCAGTCTGAGGTGAATTCGGCCCGGAGGGAGCTCAAGTTCTGACCCTGTGGAGCGCTCGGAATTTACTCAAACCCTAAGCATCAATGGCAACACACACTGACATTTTAAAAATTTTGTCGATCCTCACCAATATTTCATTTTCCAAATGTACCCTAAAGCGTCTCCTGTGGTTCCGGCTAAACGTGATACTGCTTTCCACAGGAACCGCAGTTTCATTTGAAGTACTCAGTCTCGTTTTAGTATTGTAGTTCAAGATCACCTGTAAACCCTAAAACTAAGTCACTGACGAGTGCCGCATTTCCGTGGTGAATAAGGCGCTCGCCCTGCTCTTCGTAAAGGATGCTTGGATTGTTTTCCGCCAACCTCATGAAGTATGACTATCTGTTTAGAGACCTGATTTAAATGACCCACATAGTAAGTTTTGTTCAAGAAATGTCTTAATCAATGAGCAAACGGTGAGCATGCTGTTTTACCCCATGCTTCTCATCCCCGAAACAAGGACCGGACAAGTCTCTGACAGGGCAGGCCCTACCCACCTTGTCGGGGTGCACCACCAGCACAGCCCTCCTGTACACTTTCTTCACTTGCTCTGGTGTCACCAGGTCGGCCATGCCCACCGGCTTCCACTTGGTCTCCCCGGCCCACAGCACCGTGTGCATTGTGGAGAGCAGGGCTCTGATGTTTCGCTCTTTGCCTTCTATCCACTCCAGGATCTGCAAGCGGGAAACAGGAAAGGGTTAAGACAGTCAAGCACTTTCTGTCTACCAGGACTCTGAAGATCTACCCTGTTTCAGTAGAACTGAACAAGCGCCCCCCCCTTCTAGCTGGAACACTCCCCCACCTCCCACCTCACCCTTCCGGTGTACATGGTTGTTTAAAACCTGTTCCTGGACCTCAGAGTACCCCTCTGTGGTTTGAACTCCTTTCTCTCTGACTTCCTACAGTTAATTATACACTCCTAACATATGAACTTCATGAGGTCACACCCGGACCTCCTTTGTTCCACGAACTAAATAAACCGTCCTTGTAGGCTGGCCAACGTTGTGCAAGGGGGTAGCTCAGTGGGTTTGACTCCCACCACAAGGGGGAAAAATGTCACCTGCCCTACCATAAGTGGGCCATATTTTCACACCTTATTGAACTTGTATGTATACCTTTTCCTGCGGTCACGTGGAATTGTTTACAGAAAGGTGCTGTTTCTTATCGCTGTAGACCAGGAACCAAACACCGGCATCTCGAAAGGTTTATTACGTGATCCCTTTAGTCACTTAAGCAAACTAACAACCTTCACGGTGTGATAAAGGAAGTGATTGAATGGCAGGTGCAGTGGTTTGGGTGAGAATGGCTCCCATAATCTCATATATATACAGGAGTTCTTGATCCCCAGTTGGTGGAAATGCCTGGGGAGGATTAGGAAGCATGGTCTTGTTAAGAGAAGGCGTGTCACTGAGGGAGAGTGAGTCTTAATTTTTTTGAATGGAGCCTATGCCATTCCCAGTTAACTCTTTCATTCCCTATTTCACACTTGTGGATCTGAAGTAAGCTCTCAGCTACCGGTCCAGAGCCACGCCTGCCTGCTGTTGGGCTCGCTGCCATGATGATCATGGATTACACCCAGCCCTCTGGAACTGTGAGGCCCAATACACGCTCTCTTATATAAGTTGCCTTGGTCACAGTGTCTCTTCACAGCAATAGAAAAGTAACTAAAACAGAAGGAATCACGAGTTGGCATCAGCATTTGACACGTGCCAGGCTTCAGTGGGTAGTGTTGGTGGACAACCGGTTCAGCTGTGATTACTGATGGCTACCTTCCTCAGCAATGAAAATCCCGTGCCAACCAAGCGATCACGCAGGCTTTACAGACAACACGCCTTTCTCTCATAGAAAACTGTCTCCGTTTGCCTGATGAGCAGTGGTAATGGAAGTAGACAGCAAGAGAAGCAAGCAAAACCACAGGTCCTTCACTGCATTCAAGAAGGTCTCGAAGGATCCTTTTGTGCACAACTGGTATTTAAATTTGCTGAGACATGAAGCAAAAGCACTGCAGTCTGTTGTTCTGAAGACAAAGTGAAGAGTCGCCCTGGGAGACGGCTCAACCTAGAGACACTGTGTGATCTTCAGCATAGTTAATGTCCTACAGTGAGTGATTCAAGCTCTCCAGCAGAAATAAGCCTTAGAACACTGTTGTTTTTAACAAAATCTCAATCGTTGGATTTTATCAGTGAAGACTTTGGAAGCCAGGTGCTGGGGTGAAAGCCTGCTAGCTCAGAGAGGCAGAGAAAGCACCCAGCTGCCCTTCCTCCTCACCTGGCAGCCCAGGAGCCTCCCACCTTCTCCACACTGTCTCAAGACTCTTCAAACTGAGTGTACCTCCCGTCTACTTCCTGTGTGTCTCTCTGTCCGTCCTCCTGACTCCCTCTTACTCTATGGCTTTTTTCTTAATAATCCTAAGTTTACTTCTTGCCAACTGGTTGCTTGACCTATGGTTGATTTATTTAACCCTGTTTTCAATATTCAAGCGGAAAGATCTTGGATTAAAGGTGTGTGCTAGGGCTGAGCCGCACCACTACTAGAAAAAGGTTTTCTCCAGAAAATAACACAATCTTGGGGTTCAAAGTGTGCTCAGATGTCCTGCAACATAACTCATTGATCTTTATGTACTCATCAATAACCCCACCCCATTCGTCTTCAGAACCACCTTCTGCCTCCAGGTTGATCTGCATCCACTTGTCCACACTACAGCCTCACCTGTGAAGAACTCCCTTATCAACGAGTCAAGGAACTTGGATTCATTGAGTGACAAACCTCTATTTTAAAGTGCAAAAATACAACAACAACAAAAAAATCATTCTCCTTTCCCTCAAACCAATTCTCACCAGAACTTTAGAATCAAAACAGATGTTTTGTTTTGTTTGTTGTTTTAAGAACTTCTTTAGCTTAAAAATGGGAGGAGGGTATAGTAGAGGTCACGGTCCTCACCATCGTTAGCCTCCTTTCCTCAGTCTATACAAATCTCATGCCAGATTGTCTCCAGAATGGTAAATCCTGAGCACAGGAATATTCCTCTCCTGATCCCCAGAGAACCGAAACCTGGTTTTAGTCCACCAAGAACAACAGAAAGTTCTCAAGGTGGCAGAAAACACAAATGGTGAATTGTTCTTACCAAACTCCAATGACCCATATTTACAATCGAAAGGCTTCTGAACTATATAAAGTCAAATATCATTGTTCATCTGGTGGGCAAATGTAAGAAATCTGTATTACCAAACCACAGACTAAAATGAGTTTATTAGCACAATTAAGCATCATGCACAGACCTTCCCAAAGCTACTTTGCTATTGAAGATCAGGACTGTCTTCAAACCACAGCTTCAGAGACCTACTGTAACACAGTGACTGCCAGAAGGAAGCGCTTTCCATAGTTGATATGGTCAGTGTCCCACCCTGGAGTCAATGTTGAGTTTTAACTCTCAAAGTAGTGCATGGCATTAGGAGGCAGGACCGTTAGGGGTGTTGAGATTTAAATTAAATAGTTCTCCCCAGGCTCTTGTTTTGAGCACCTGAGGTGTGGGAGGTCCTTCTGTCTATGTGTTGTTTTTATTGGCTAATGAATAAAGAAACTGTCTTGGCCTGTGATAGGGCAAAAGAATAGAGCTAGGTAGGGAAAACTAAACTGAAGACCGGGAGAAAGGAGGCAGAGTCAGGGCAAAGCCTTGGAGTCGCTGCCAGAGTCAGACATGCTGAAACCTTGCTGGTAGGCCATGAGCCTCATGGTAAAATATAAAATAATGGAGATGGGTTAATTCTAGATGTAAGAACTAGTTAGCAATACACTTAAGTAATTGGCCAAGCAGTGATCTAAATAATATAGTTTCTGTGTGATTATTTTGGGAGTCTGGGCTGTCAGGAAACAAGCACGCGGCCTCCTTACTACACACCTGCTCACCAGTGGATGGTCTCTGGGAGACTGTGGAACCTGTAGAGGGCTTAGCTAGTAGAAATAGCTCCCTTGGAGTGGGCCTTCAAAGGTTCTACCTGTTCCCCTCTTGCATCAGTATTTCTCTCCGACCTTCCTGTCCACTTCCAAGTGAACAGCCACCCTGCACACAAAGCCAGGCCTTTCCTGTCACCATAAACTGAAATCTCCATGAGGCAAAACAAGTTGTTTCTTTCAAGTATTTAGTCCCTAGTGACCAACACAAAGGCAACAAATACAGAGGTGATTGGACAGACATGACTTCGTCGCACACCTTTGTCCTACAGGATAACGGAGGGGCTCACTCACCTTTAATTTCTCAGGATCCATTTCCTTAGCCATTTCCTCCTTTCTCATCTCAGCTATTGTCCGAGGCCCCTTCTTGTCTTTGTGGGCATTGAACCCTTGGCTAGAAAGCAGGTCTTCAAAGTCAGCAGCCTTTTGTTTCCCTTCTGTAAAACAATGTGTGGAAACCATCACAACTTTCATTCTTAAACAGCTCAGACCCTCACTTCACCGGAGTACGGGGCTCCAAAGTCACTTTTCATACTTCCATCCTCTTCCCACCTGCCTCGTGCAGAAGACTAAAGGCTCTGTGCAACAAGTGAGGAAAACGGAAGGCTAGGGAACCAAAAGAGCCTGTCCAGAATCACACAACATGTCCATGGAAAGCACAGGACTGGAGTCGGGATCGCTAACGCCTATTTCATCTCCAGGTTAACCTTGCAGACAAAGATACTCATGATTCTATCCCAATTACAACAAACTGGTGCCAGAGATTAGACAAGAGCATAGATTCAAGTCCTGGACATCCTCCCTGCTAACACTTCCCTGTCTCTACCCAGCTGATGACTTCACTGGGTCATAGTGCCCTTCCCCTGCAAGTCTGGTTGGGAACTAAATCTCTCTCGGTCTTTCCTGGAAACAATGCTATGTATCTGAAACCCAGCTATGACCAAAGGGGCACTGCAGGTATCTATACCTCAGTTTCTTAATCTAGAGAATGAGGATGGTGTTAACAATACAGTGTTGTCATGAGAAAGAGCTAAAAGCATGCCTGGTTATCTCAGTGTTCATTTGAAAACAAAGCTGAACAAAACCACAACAGCCCACGTGGTCGGTAGTAATCAACCCAAGGTATTTTTGTTCCCGGCTGGGAAAGTTCTGCCATCTATATTCTAAAAAAGCCACATTCACATGTGTGCACACCAAAATTAAGTGCTCCTAGGAGACACTCACCCTCTATCTACTCAAAACAAAAATGAAGGGATGCCATGCGGCTCAACAGAATTGCCCAGAGGATCTCCCTGCTAACGATAGGATAAACATGACGTCATACGTTCTCAGCACATGCATTTCCATCACAGCGGTGCTGTGAGCAACACTGGGGTTGTGGGCAGCTGGAAATAACAGCGGTGCCAAACGACTGGGAGTCAAGTCCCGGCTCTCACAAGTTTCAAGAAATTGAGAAATTACTTTAGAGAGCTACCTCACAGTTCCGTGTCTGTAACAGAGGATTGGTTTTGAAGATACACATGGAACTGCCTGGGATACCCCTGCATGTAGTACACTCTCAATACATGTTAACCACCGTGTAGAAAGAGGGTCACCTTTATCCATGTTCCTCAAAGGGAATCATCAAATTAACTGAGATGCCAAGTGCACTGACACTATCTGACAAACTCAATCGTAATAGATACTATTTTTATCTCAATGGCAAGAATCTCATTTAGTGGGGCTAGGGAGACAGCTCAGCAGTTAGGAGCATTTGCTGCCGTGACAGAGGACCTTGGTTCGATTCCCAGCACTTACAATGTGGTCCATAACTACCTATAACTCCAGTTCCATGGAATCTGAAGCCCTTTCTGACTTCCTTGGACAACAGGCATGTACATGGCATACATACATACACATAATTAATATCCGTACATATATAATACGATAAATCTTTAAAAATACGTTTTGTTTTTAATTCAGTCTAGGACATCTTCCAGTCCTAGGCAGTGGCACCATCACAGGTGCCCTCAAACTCAGGAATCTACCAACCAGCTTTCTCATAGCAATCCAAGAAGAAAACCTAATGTGATTTTGACAGGTTCTAATCCTTTTCTCCTAAGAATACTTTCTTTCTTCCAAAGGCTATAGTTCTCTGTTCCATTTATCCGTCCAATCAACATGTATAAAGATTTACAATACAGCAAGTGCTATGCTAGGTTCAAAAACCTATGACAAATGTCTTCCTTCCTACTCCAGCATGGGGAAGGAAAGACCAAGTGAGCCACAGTCACATGACACCTACATGGGGTCATGGTAGACCCAGGCGCTCCACACACAGTACTGGGGGTGTGGATCACCTGATATCTCTCCAGCTCTTAAGACAGTCTCATAAACAATAGGATTGGTTTTGGTCTCCTTCAGACATAACAACGTCCCCAGCAGTGTGACATCACGGGCAGGTCACCCGACATCAGTTTCATTTCATCATCCTCACCCAAATTAGAAGATCCTTTCCCACGTTCGCTCTGTCCCGCAGGCATAGCTGAGAAGCTCACGTTGTAATTGGGTCGGTTCTGCGGGGAGGAGTGAGGCATACCGGATGGCGGCTTAGGCTGAGCCTGCTGCCAGTTATAGCCCGCGGGCTGCTGCCACCCTCCACCCATCGGCTGGGGGGATGCTTTCTGCGGTGAGCTGAGAGGTGGAAACCCTCCGCCTAGTCCAGTTGGTGTGGTAGGTTTGCTGGCAAAGGAAGAGCTACCTATGGAGGAAAAGGGAGAGAGGCGGTAAGGATCTTTGCAGTGGCTTCAAACTCGTGTCCCGAGGCATTGCTGGAAATGATTTCAGTGGTCTTTGGGTGGTAACAGAATTCACCTCCCTAAGAGGTAAAGAAATCGCAGGCGTGTCTGCATAGCCATTATTTTCTTAATTAGCCCAGTGGCACTTTTAGGTAGTATCCTTGCCTCGTTCATTTCTTCACATGAACAAAAACCAACCAGGAGAACTCAGGTACACTACACGTCACAAAACAAGGCCAACCACACGTATGACACACTGTAAGGGACTCAATAAGCATGTGGCCATAGAACACAATATTTGAGGGCTGTCACGCTATCATATCACTGCCCCTGTCATTCTCTGTCACCACCCCACTTTCTGAGGCAAGGTCTTACTATGTAACCTACATGGTCTAAAACTCCCTATGTATGCCAGGCTGGCCACCATCCTCCTGCCTCAACCTGGAACGCAGCCAACACCAGCAGCTTCTGCTTGCCGCTGTCATTTGACAACATACAACAAGAAGCCCTCTTCAGGGGCCCCCTGGACCCTTTTGTCCCTAGCACATCAACATATATGTAAGGCTAGGCATTCATTCTGTATTGTGGCTTCATTTTATATTTTAAGAATGCTCACTTGATTCTAAATACATCTGTTTATCATTTTGACATTTGATGTATTTCCTACACATAAGAAAAACACCTATGAACTAAAGGCATCTTCCAGATTCCCACTACAGCCATCACGTGTCCGTTCATTTAGGAACCACTTTGAGCATCTTGTACACGCCAGGCTGTGGACCCAGCAATGAAGTGGTGGGTGCTGATACCGCTCTCCTGGGGCCTGTCAACGTTGTGTGGCTTTGTAACATCTAACTTGGCAAAGTAAGTCATGTTTACATGCAACAACAATTCTATATACTGATGCTATCGAAGCAGTGAGCTGCCCAAAAGACAGCATAGCTGCCAGGCCCGGATCACAGCCATCCCACAAGAGCTGAAGAAGGCACAGTTTTCAACCTTGGCTGTGCATCACAATCATCTAGGAAACCTCTCATTCGATGTCTCACCTAGCATAGCACCTACACAGTGGATATTCTATCTCTGATTAACATTTCTCTCTCCTACCATGCTGTAGGGTCCCGTGGGAAGGAATGCTGTCTGCCGCCAGTCAGCATTGCATCCAGAGTGCTTAGCGGAGGGCATGTAATCACAAATACCCAGCAGATGAGGAAACTGAAGCTTACTGGCTGAAAATGGAGGCGGTCTCTCTCTAGGACCTCCTAGCAAGTCTGAGAGGATTAAAAACCCCCCATCTTTCATCGTCTCTTTTGACCCACCACCCACTTCTACTTGTTACCTCTATGAAATGGCAAATGGTTTCCACCATTACTGAATTCAGACTGTCTTCCTAAAAGACAAAACTAACCACTTCCTGGATTGGCACACAAGGTACAGTAAAGCAGTTCTGAGGTCTTTCTTGGGTGGGCCTTACCTTCCCAACCCCACTTCTCCCACCCCTATCTCCACAGGGCCCGGGCCATCCGACAAGCAGTCATCTTAGCTATTCCCTCCCCTCTGACTGGACTCCTTTCTCTGCCCACACATAGAAGCCACCATTGTCACCCTCTCCCATTCCTGAACTCTGGCTAAGTGATCTCAGATCAAAGGTGAACTTCTTCAGTCGCTAGCTCCTTTCAAAGAGCCGCTGTGTACCCCAGAAGGGAGCTGCTGGACCTCACCAGGCTTCCTTCCCGACACAGCTGCGTGTAGGCCAGTTACATCGGAATACACAGTGAGGAGTCAGGCAACGATGTTTGCATTAGAACTGGTTCAGTCGAGGCCTCTGTCTTGTTTTTGTTTTTTTTTTTTTCTGAGTTAGTGCTGTATTTTTTTGGATGCTTACTTCTTATTCTCAGAAAACTCATCTAATGAGCCCAAATTTTGGCTTATAAATATTGCTGCATTTCCAAAGTAACAACAAACTCAAGTTGTGCGTGCAGGTTCCTTGTTGGTGGCGATAGAGGTTTGCCACTCTGAAACTAGCAATGTTGTCTAATCATAAACTGCAATCCGAGGAATGCAAGGAGGACTAGGAGAAGGCAAGGAAGAACTCAGGGAGGTGGAGTAACTGTATACACACAGAGAGACACCCGCATGTATGCACACACACGTGCACACACATAACAAGAAACCTTTCTCCTGGAAGGGAAAGAAATAACAGGCCACCAATGATTATCCTTAGTACACAAATCTTGGTTTTTAATTTTATCCCCCAGAGGAATGAATGCAGACACCTTACAAAAAGATGACAGCTACAGCTGTGTGTAGGAAGCTCAGGAAATGCCTGAACATCCCTCTGTTTCATGTAGGGGTGCCTGTCTTTCACTTGATAGAACTGAGTGAAAAAGACATAGAAGGCAAACTATTCCAAAAAACAAGCCAATGACAGGAAGAATGGCAAAATAAATAACGTTAGAAGTGGATGATAACCCACTGAACCAAAAGAACCCATTTTTAGTCCATCCTGATGATAGCAATGAGTGACAATAATAGACAGATAAACAAAGTAAATGGATGGAGACAGACAGACACATGCATACATATATACATACACACACAGACAGACAGAGAGGCAGAAAGAATAGGTAGATGGATGAGAAAGAGAAGGAGGGAGAAGAAGGAGGGAAGAAAATAGGGAGACAGAAAGAGGGAGGGAGAGAGAGATGGAAGGAGGGCAGGATGGGGATAAGGAGGGAGGAAGAGGGAAGGAGAGGGAGAGAGAGAAGCAGGGGGATCCTTGCAGTAAAATATCAGCTCATTGACACAATGAGAGAAGTTTACAATGGACGATACGCGGTTGTTTTTTCTTTTCTAGAACCTGCCACACCATCTTCCACAGTGACCACTAGTTTATATTCCCACCAGTGATGTCCAAAGTTCCCTTTTGTTCATATTCTCACCAGCATTTGCTTGTATTTGTCTTCTTAATGATAGTCATTTTGCTTAGGATGCAATGTATGCCATTTTAAATTTACTTCCTCTGATGCCTCGTGGGATTGAACGTATTTCCACATCTTTTATTGGGTATTTTTACCTTATCTTTTGAAATCTGTTCATTTTTATTTGGTCCATTTACTGAGTCTGCTTTATTTTATGTATAGATTTTTTTTAATTCTTTGCATATTCAAGATATGAATCCTATGTCACCCCTATAGCAGTGTGGCGCTGTGGCGCTGTCCCTGCCACGGTGGACATTAGCATCAAATATTACTCAGATCTTAATCTGGTAAGTTCATACCTAGCGTCCCCAGGTCAGCGAAGGGATCCAGAGTCTGCGGCTTGCTCTGATGGGTAGGGGTGCCGTGTGATGAGCCTGTTGGGCTGGTGGCGGCTGATTTGCTTCCCATTCCAAAACCCCCTGGGAAGGAATGGAGACCCTTGAAAATGAGTTAGCTCCCCGAGGCAGGATGCTGAGAGTTGGGGTTTCAGATCACCTGCTCGGCTAACCCTAAGACAAATTAGGATAGAGCGTGAAAATGTGTGCGAGGTCCCGAGATGCTGTTACTCTGGTTGAGGTGAGTGGTGACCCAAAGCGAGGGTAAGACATGGGTCAGGCATCTGCTCTTCTCTGGCCATGCATGTTATTTCCTGACTTTCTCTCTCTTCAGAGATCAGGAGTCAGGCTTTATCTGTACTACCCCTGTCGTCCTGGGATCCTGCTTGTCATCTTCCAACTGTAACATTTTTAACTTAAATTTTTTTTATTAGTATCTTATATTATGTGTATGGATGTTTTGCCTGTAAATAAGTCTGTGCACTATGTGTCTGCAATACCACAGGGACCAGAAGAGGGCATCAGTCCCTTGGAACTAGAATTACAGACAGTTATGAGCCACCATGTGGGTGCCAGGAATCTAATGGAGGTCCACTGCAAGAGCAGAGAGTGTCAAAAAAAAAAAAAAATTCAAAGTCACAGGCAATAAAAGCAAAATGTAGACAAATTGAACTAGAAAAACCTGTGTGACAAAGAAATAGTCAACAAAGAAAGTAAAGTATACAATATTTGCCAACCATTATTCTGATAAGGAGCTTGAGCCAGGAAATATATATATATATATATATATATATATATATATATATATATATATACTACGACTTAATTATAAATTGGCAAATAACTTGATTTAAAAATAGGCCAAGGACTTCTCTCCAAAGAAGACTTGCAAATGATTAGAACACATAAAAAGATTCTCAACATTGCTGTCTTAGTTACTTTTCTATTGCTGTGATGGGACACCTAGACCAAGGCAACTTAGAGAAGAAACGGCTTACTGGGGCTCACAGTTTCAGAGTTCACAGCCATCACTGTGGGGATATGTGACCGTCACTTATACATTATCCACAAGCATGGGGCACAGAAAGCTAACTGGGAATGGGGTAACATTTGGAAACCTCAAGCCCACTTCCAGTGACACACCACCCCCTTCTCAAACAGTTCTGCCAACTGGGATCAATTACTCAAATAGAGGAGCCTGCAGAGGTCATTCTTATTCAAATCACCACCGTCACTGATTCTTAGGGGAAATGTGAATCATGGAAGCAATGAGATATTACCTTAGACCTGTCAGGATGGACATTTGTCAAAAACTAAGTATTTGAAGAAAAAAACCCAGGAGATTCTAAGTGGTAGGACCAATTCAGATGCATCTAATTATATTGTTGAGACAGATATAAAGTAGATGATCTTTTTTTTAATATTTATTGATTTATTATATATACAATATTCTGTCTGTATATATGCCTGAAGGCCAGAAGAGGGCACCAGACCTCATTACAGATGGTTATGAGCCACTATGTGGTTGCTGGGAATTGAACTCAGGACCTTTGGAAGAGCAGGCAATGCTCTTAACCACTGAGCCATCTCTCCAGCCCAAAGTAGATGATCTTGTGAAGTCAAACCATAGATATATATCTTTATAATATATTGTATATTTTATTTATATATTATATTGTAAATTATTTATTTACAAGACATATTGCAGTTTACTTTTACAAGTTAAATATATATAACTATATGTAGTATATATAATATCTATTTATAAAAATATAATATATAATTCATATAATATATATTATGTCATCAAGTGCATTGGGAAAAGTGCTGCTAGAATATAGATCATTAGGAATAATCAACCACACAGTGGACTATAATATTCCAAGTATCCACCTCATCTTGGGTGAAGGACCATGCATTTGCTACTGGTCACTTGTGTACAAAAATAACCTGCTGGCCCTTACCTGGTTTGGTATGCCAGTCCCAACCTCCAGCAACATCTGGCTGGATGTTCACAGCAGGTGTGCTCGAAGCTGCAAATAGAGAGAAGATGAATGAGAACAGGACGGCTGGGAGTCCGCCGGTCTGAGTTGGCACAGGACAAAGCTGTCTTCTCCAGTCTGCATGGTTTCTCAATGTCTAATGGATTCGTTCCTCCTCCCAGGCTTTACCCCACTCTGCAACAGGAATATGTTCAGCTTTCATCTGCGCATGCTCATGAAAGCTGGGTAAAAACCCTAGGTTTTCTCAGTTCGTTCTCTGGCTCACCTTCTGTTACCTCCATATCCACCCACTTGGAATTATAAGTGTGCACATGTCTGTCCTCATTTAATGCTGAGTTCCTTGAATGCAAGAACTGTCTTATTCATCTTTGTGCACCCCACTTAACATTCTGGGCCACGCAGAAAGAGGGAAAATATCCTTAAACTCAGCCCAGCTTAGCTTAGCCTTGACAAGGGCACCCAAGTACAGGCCACTCAGAACTGGGATCTTGTTTTTTCCTCGGCTGTGGCAGGGATTGAGAAGGAGGAGCATTCTGAACACTAACTGGGCAAACACAATGTATCTCCCACTATGCTGTTGGCAGATACGTGTCTACTGTCACTCAAAAAGAAACCCATTAGAGCTTCAAGAGAGATCATTCTGACCTCTAAGAAGTTCTGAGCAGAGATGAGATAAAATGTGCTGTGGCAGGAAAGGGTCCTCCCTACAGCCTGGACATAAACATCGGCAGGTAGACCTCAGTCACTAAACTAGCATTACAAGTGGGACTGAGAACACACACACACACACGCACACCACACTACATACAGACACACACACCACATTACACACACCACACTACATACAGACACACACACCACATTACACACACATACACTATACACATCACACTACATACACACACATGCATTCATACTACACATACACCACACTGTATACAGACACACACATCATACCACACACTCACACACACACACACACCACACTACATACACAGACACACACATCCCACTACACACATCTCACACACACACACAAAGGACCCAAGGCACCAGGGTCAGCATTCCAGGCTTCCCAGTCATCTCCTGTGCTTGCCTACTGTCAATAGCTCACGTACCTTCCTATTAATTAAAAAGCACACACCATTATCAGTGACGATGGCTCTTTCCTTTCTGCTTTTCCCTGCTCTGGCTCCATAGCAACCCATGAGAAAAGATCAAAAGTAGACAGCTTTGTCAACATTTGCTGTCTGGTTTTCTTAACATTTTATGTTTGTCTTATATCCATCAGGATAAAAATGAAGCAGAGAGAGAGAGAGAGAGAGAGAGAGAGAGAGAGAGAGAGAGAACCCAAAGGGCTGGAATAAAGATAGTACAGAGGAACACTGGGAAAGAGGCCCAAGGCATGAGGATGGTATATCCTCATGGGTACACACAGGCCATGAGCAGGGCACACAGTGCTGGCTCTTATGTTGGGTGAAATAAGGAGCCATTATGAACTCCTAGGTGGCCTGGATTACATGTAAAAGAGAAAACAGTGATAACATTAATCATCACCCCTGAATCTGAAATGTGGAAAAACAGGATTCTTAAATCAGCAAAATACGATGTTAAGTTATTGAGCAGATAGCCCAGATGATAGGCTAATGAGTGACTGCTATAAAAATATTAAGATGGCTTGTATTCTTTGATCGTGCAGTAAACTTCGGGATTTGTGTTTGCTTTATGCGTGGAGCACATTTCAAGTCGAAGTAACCATGTCTCGAGTGCACTGTAGCCACGCACAGCTAGAAGCTGTCACATTAGACAGACATGTCCCCATACATCCGAGTGGCGTGTCCCAAACTCTGCTCTGACAACTGATAACTTTATGGAATGCTAACATCATATTTTACTAACTTAGGAAGCCAACTTTCTTATATTTCAAAGATCTCTGTAACTAGGACATAGCTTCCAAATGATTTGAAGTGGGAACATTTTTTTCTTTTTTACTGGTACACAGAGTGATAACATATGTTATAATCAGTGATGCCTTATGATTCTGGGTGTGCAACTCTAGAGTAAAAATAAGCAGAAACCCACAGCCCAGTGCTTTCAAGACCATAGTGAAACCGAGTTAAATGTTAAATGAGTCTCTTTCGGTAAGAGTTTTTAAATATGTTAATAAATTTTCAGTTTCTAAAGGCTTTACACACACATACACACCCACGTGTGTGTGCACACACACACACACACAGATGCATTTACATCTCAGTACTCTGCGTTGTCTTATGAAAAACCACTCCATTATTCCATTAAGTGCCATAGAAAACACTTTCCTACCATACACTGTAGGGGAAGGACTTCTCGTGGGCTGCAGAAAAGGGTCGCTAGAAGCATTGGATGTGTTCAGAAAGGAGCCCAGCAAATCCTGACCTGGTGGCTTAGCAGGGGCTCCAAAAGGGTCAAAGGTGGTACCTAGAAAACAAAGGGAAAATGCATTTCTTAATCCTGCCAGTTCATTGCTGTATAGCTACCGAAGGGCTGCCGCTGCTACCTTGTCAAACACTTGAAAGACCAGGCTGAAGCTTGCCTCCTGACCTCTCTCACCCCTTCCTAGACTTAGAACTTCCTCCAGAACTAACAGTGGATCACAACACGACAGGAACCATCCCACCCATGTAGATGGAAGAGACTGGACTTATTAGAAAAGTCATAACTTTAAATGAGGATCCAAGTAACTTTTATAAATCCTGTGTGTACATGTGCATGTGTATGTATGTGTGTGTGTGTGTATGCGTGTGTGGCTAGGGGGTTAGGAGTGTGTGGTGTGTATTAGTGTGTGTGTGATGTGTATCATGTGGGAGTATATAGTGTATGTGGGGATGTATTGTCTGTATATATGGTGTATATCGTGTGTGTGTGTGTGTGTGTGTGTGTGTGTGTGTGTGTGTGAGAGAGAGAGAGAGAGAGAGAGAGAGAGAGAGAGAGAGAGAGAGAGAGAGAGTTTGGTGTATATTGTGCGTATGTGTGTGTGTGTGCATGTCCAGGACACCATAGAGTACAGGTATCTATCCTCATTTTCTGCCTTGCTTGAGACTGTCTTGTTTTCCTGCTGCATGCATCTGGCTAGCCAGCCTGAAGCTTCTGGGGTTGTCTTCCTTTACTTCCCATCCCCTTGCAGAAGTGCTGGGATTACAGATGTTCATACACACATGTCCAGCTTTTATGTGGGTTCTGGGGGTTCAGACACAGGGTCTGACACTGTGTGGTAAGCTGTTTTGCTCAATTAGTCATCTCCTCAAGACAGATTTTGATAACATAAGAGCAGCAAATCATAGCTAGAGACTAGCTAGAAGACAAGATCAACACAGATGAATCCATGAACTGCCCAAACTAGGTACAGGTTCGATGACAAATGAGTGTTTACGTAAAAGGAATTAATGGGAGAAAACAGGCAGGGAGCATTGCTATAAAGACAAATAGCAGAAACCCCACCGACTGGACTAGGAGTATAGCTCAGTTGGTAGAGTGCTTGCCCATCATACATGAAGCCTTGGGTTTGATCCCCAGAACCACAAAAGACTAGGCAAGATGGTACACGCCTGTAATCCCAGCGTTTAGAAGGTGGAAGTGGGAGGATCAGAAGTTCAAGGTCATCTTGGGTTACACAGTGAGTTCAAGCTCAGCCTGAGTTATATAAGAGCCATGCCAAAAGAAAAGGCCAACCCCACTAAGTAGGTCTTTCTTTAACTTTGTTCCCAAGTGACCTTCAGCTCACTTGAAAGCTAAAAACAGAATAAAATGAGAGCGAAGCTGCATTCTCTTGAGTCCACGGGATCAAGCATTTCTAAAACACTGACTCAACAGCCTGCTAGGAGCTAGAGAAAGCTGGGTGGAAACTAGGAATGTTGAAGGCCCTGGTTGCCAACAATAGTGAGGCTTCCTAGGGCTCTACTGTGTTGCAGAGAAGACCTTGGTGGAGGGGGGGGCATCTCAGTCTCTCCCTGTCACCTTCACTCAACCCTTGTGAAACTGAGGACCAGAAACTTGCCCTTGTTCAAGTCCAGGAAACACTATACTAGACCCCCATTCAAATCTTCCGGCTCCAGGTAATCTCCACAAGCGTTTGTCATGAAATGAACAGGATGCCTACCAAACACTGAGCTGCATGGAGACAACTGCCCTCTGATTTCTCACTGTTGAGCAAGAACCAAAACCTCCCTGAGCTACCTAAAGTGAGATGTCACTTCCAAATCGGTAGGCGCCAAGCCGAGGACAGCCTGCTTCGTGGAGCGGGGCTGACCCGTTCTAGAAATAGAACCTGAGGACCAAACCAGCGAACAAACACTTCCCACTGCCACAATGTAGTGGGGCATGTGGCTCACAAGTTCACAGTTATGACGTCACTGGCATAAGGCGCTCCCAACACCGTGGGGCAGCAGGTCAGTTTCTTGTGGCAGTACTTGCACCGTTTCAGACAGTGGAGCCCAAGACGCAAATGCTCTCTGACAAAAGAACACTGGGGTTAGCAGGGTGACCGGAAGAGGACAACGGGTCAGCCCATCAGATTCTAATTGATGCTAACCAGTGGAGAAGATAGGAAAGACTTAGATTGCCAAAGCACTTTTCATATCACCTTATTCTAGAAATTCTCAGAACCAAAGATGAAAGGTGCTGAAAACTCAAGAGTTAGTCTTTACCTTTATACCCATGGGTACTGTCCCCAACTAAGCAAAGTAAGAGGGTTTTCACTGTTTTGTTTTGTTTTTTTGAGACAGGGTCTTACTATGTAGTCCTGGCTGGCTTGGAACTCCCTGTGTAGCCCAGGCTGGCCTGAAACTGATAAAGATCCACCTGCCTCTGCCTCCTAAATGCTGTGGTAAAAGCATATGCCACCACAAATGACCAAATTAATTTTTTTTTTTGAGGGGGGCGATGTCTCCAGACAGCATTTCTCTATGTAACAGCCAAGCTGTCCTGGAACTCATTTTGTGGACCAGGCTGGCCTTGAATTCACAGAAATCAGCCTGCCTCTGCCTCCTGAGTGCTGGGATTAAATGTGTGCGCTACCATCGCCCAGGTTCCCACCCAGCCACCACCAATGGGAACTCTGCACTTGAGCTCTGTAATCTGTTCCCCTTCTCACAAAGGAGGCATCCAGCAGAACTTCACAAGCCAAGACCAGCCCAGAGCCCAGAAAGGGTGAAGGATAGCATTCCCCAAGCCTAGGTGGGTACGACTCATCTCTTTACCCTTCCTAATGCAGCATCTTCTTAACCGTGACAGTCATGGGGAGCTGGTCTGTGCTGGTTATTCTGAAGTCGTAATGAATCTCTGGTACCCAGCTACATCCTCTTGCAAATGTTCATGCTGTAGCTGACCCGGAAAAGGAAGTCTGCGGTGGTGTGTCAGGTGAAACTGAGTATGTAAGGCTCAGACTCCTTACGAAGACCAGCCGCCCTTCTCTCCCCAGCCATGCTGCTAGCCTGAGCCCCTCAAGCATATCCTGATGTAACCAAACACTTTTCAGGACAGCCGGGGTATATCCAGAAAACTAGAATTCCAAAAAGTGTTACTGGAGGCCTGAGGGTGAGCTCCGAGTCCACAGGTCAAGCTGGGACCCCAGCCCCATCAATTCCCAGCTGTTTGAACACATGCTGATAATTAAAACTGGAAGCTTCTATTTCCTCAACTACGAAGTAGAGACAATGATAGCATCTGTCTCCAGATTTTTATAAGAACGGAGTCATGTTTAATCGTGTATTCTATATCTGGCAAGCGGCGAGTATCACACAACTATCAGCTGCTGTAGTAGATAACAGCTCATCCATCTTCATCCCCAAGCAGAAGTAACTAAAGGACACTCAAGGCTCAAGTCTGGAGAAAAGGAAATTAAGAGGATGGAGTTAAGCCAGAGGATCAGGATGCCTGCTGCGAGACAGTGTCTTCTGGATGTTTCAGGAAAGCCGCACCAGCGACATCTCAACAATACGGCTGGTTAAACAAGACCTGCGCAGTGACAGCACCAGGGGACACGCAGCACAGACAGAGGAAATTTTACAAGGCTCCACCCCTAGGCAGGCGGAGAGCTACAGAAAATCAATGGCTGTGGAGCTAGGGAGACTATTTTTCTCCCAGGGATGAGCTCCCTGAGAGGTTAGCCAATTTCAGTAAGTCAGTCCTAAGCACATATGAGCAACTCTTAAAGGGCTCAGTAGGTTGATACTGATGTAGCAATAATAATTAAGAAAGGAGAAATTATGATTTTGAGAGGGGGTATGGGAGGAGATGGAAGAGGGAGGGGAAAGGGGGAAATGATGCAAATATAGTACCCATGTACGAAGTTCTCAAAAAATAAAAAAATGTAAATAAAAAAAGAGTATGGGGTACAAATATATCCCTACACCTTTCTACCAAAATGGACAATTTTTGTATTTTCCGTACGCTCTCCCAAGGAACTTTCAAAGAAACCGGAAAAGTTCAGCTAACTAAGACATTTCAGTTCTATGTGCTTGGCCCGCCCAAAAGTTATTCCCGAAGTCTGGGATAACAGAGAAATATGGGAAAATTACCTTCTCCCACTCTTAGGGTTGGTGACGCAGAGGCGGAGGTGGCGGCGCGGCGTGGTGTGGATTGCGCTGACGCGGGTCCACTAGGATGAAAGACATCTTCTACCCCAGCCTGCCCTGCCTGGGCAGGACCTGTGGCACCTCCACCCCCAAACAGGTCACTCAGCAGTTCCGAATTGCTGGGAGGCGCTGCCAGCGGGGAGAAGTTCCTGCTCACATCGGACCCTTCCAGGCCCAGGAGGTCCACCTCTTCCGGGGGAGGAGGGGCTGCTGGCTCCTGCTCCTTGCTGGGCTTCTTGGCTCCGTGAGGCTTGTCTCCATTGGCGTTGCCGTGGGGGCTCGAGAGGGTCAGGAGTTCATCATCCGACTGCTCACTTTCCTGATTCACCAGGGCAGCGTGGTCCTCCTCGCAGAACGCCTTTTCTGATTTCTGATCTAAGAGAGGCCAATGTGCAGATAAATGATTGGATGACCGACCGCAGGTGAGGTTTGCACATTGTTCCAGAAAAAGAAGATGGACCAGCTCTGAGCAAACAATGCTTTTAGACCCCTCCCAATGCAATAACTGTTTAATTTCAGGTCATTCTCAGCTGTTTGTCCACCATCTGCAAGGCAATATAACATAAGGACTAAGAGGGAAAACTCTGGATCCGGCCGGCCTAGGATGGAACCCAGCTCCACCCCTCACTGGCGGTGTAACATTGAGCAAGTAACTTTACTTCTCTGTGTCTTGGTTTCCTCCTCAGCAAAACAGGGATAATAAATACTACACACTGCATGGGATGCTGTAAGAATTACATCCGATAATAACAAAAAGAACTCAGATCAATAGCAAGTGGATTTCCAGACACTACATGGGGTACTACAGAAAATGCCAGTAACACCTAGTCCTTTGCGGACACCTCTCTCTGCCCTCTGTTTCTCCACACGACCTGAAGCAGAAGCAACACACCCTAAGAAGCAAATTCAAGGGCTCGGCCTCACAGTCCTCCCACCATCCTGAAAGGAGATATTTCCCCCACAAAACCGGCTTAGGAAAGACACTTCCGCTGGGGAGAAATGGAAGGCTTCTCTGCGCCTTTCCAGGCCCTGCTCGAGACCATCTTCCATAGATAGCACTTGGTTATCTCACACCAGACAGACACACAATCTGAATGGGGGGCTGGTTCACACTTGTGAACCCCAACTCTGAAACATGCACATCTGTGGGAAAGGCTAGGTTGATCTAAGTTTAGTGGAGCGAGCTCAGCAGGAGAGCATGCTCAGAATGGGTAGATGAAGGTACCTGCAGGCTTCTGCTGCCTCACACAAGTTCCTATTTACTTATATGTCCCACTGCAGAAACATTCATGTTTGATTGCAGGCTGTCATCTGAGATGCCACTGGCAATGTTATGTAATATGTTTAATATACCTTTGCAAAACGTAAAAGCCCCAAGCAGATAAGAGAGTGCACCTGTGCTAAAAACAGAGATTCTTTTAAAAAGTATTTTACGTGTGAGTGCCTGTCTATATGTGTGTGTATCATGTGTGTGCCTCTGGAGGCAAGAAGAGGACCTCAGATCTCCTGCAATTGGCGTGACAGAGGGTCCTCTGCAGAAACATCAGGTGTTCGTAACCACTACGTCATCTGTTCTGACACATGCAGAAATTATTTCTACATATTAGCATGGCAATGGGAAGGTGAGAGTAATGTTTTATTAGAAGCAGTTGCTGGGAGAAAGATGCAAGATAAGGACCAAGAAGGGGCTGACAATCCATCTGCAAGTCAGGTTCGGCTGGGCTTCCAAGTCTGAGAAGCTCTCGTTGCCTTGTTCAAAAGGAAATTCCATAAGCAAACCTTTAACCCAAAGGACCCAGATGAATATGTTCTAACTAACACTGAAAACGTCTACAGGATGTAGGAATACTGTGCTACGTTCACACATCAGAGGAAGGTCAATCAAGAAAACGTTGCCTAGGCCACCTCTGAAGCTGAATCCCCACCCCTTTCACACACAGTCATGACCGGTTGGTTTTGTACCACACTTGGTAGCTAACTTCTGCAAACTGCAAAGCAAGAATGGCCAGTGTACACACTAGAATGCCCATGGCTGTCTCCTCAAGACAGTAATGTAAAGTGCTAGGCTGTGAAGGGGCCTGGAAATGTCACCAGCTGTGGGGACAAAACAGCACAGTGGGAGATTCCTGTCTGGATTAATATTGCTGAAGCAACTAGCTGAGATACGGGCCAGGTGACCGCCTTCACCACGCCAGGGCAAGACCCATCCTGCCTTGCTAGAGGTGCGGTGCCTGAGACAGCACTCGACTTTATCTCTTTAGAATATTTGCCTGAAGGCAGGCAACTCTTTGTTAGTCTTTCTGAGCTGCCAACTGCCTAAGGAGAGATCTTAGAACACGTCACACTTCATCAGTCTTGGAAAATGTGGAAAAACTGCAAACCCAGGAGGTAGAATTTAGCCTACACTGGCTTTCTGGTTCGTCTGAACACTCATGGACGTGAAAGTAGGCAAGTTGCCTGATTTGAAAAACAAATGAAGGGAAAGGTCTGAAATAAGGGAGAAATTAAGATTGCTTCAAGAAGTGTCTTAATAAAACCACCAGACAACTTAGTCACATAATCACCCAGTCATCCTAACTTAGAGGCTTTACCATACCTTGCCAACAGAGGGAGGCAAAGAAGCCACCTTGCCCGACATTCCTGGGATGGTCTGGAGGGAGATCTGCTGTAGCCTGACCTGTAAGACAAAAGGTCACACAGCTTCACCTTAACGTAGGGAACAAAGTAACGCAGTAAGCAACCCAGAGGCTTCATCCGGAAAACCCAAACCAGCCGTGACTCATACCTCCTAAGGCCAGAGTGTCTTGATGTTCCTGCTGAGAGGAAAAGAGGATGCTGGGGTTCACATCTTTTGAGCAGTAGTGCTCCCATGGGGGAGTCAAGTCGATCACTTTGTCTTGGGGCTGCACTTCTATATCCAGTGTCACTTGGAACAGCTGAGGATATTTTTCTGGTACATCACATGCGTCCAACTCGGGTCTAATGGAAAGAAAAACACAGCATGCGCAGTGCCATCAGCAGGTTGCTCAGCACGAGGCTCGGCCCACACGGAAGAGTCCAGCCTGAAACTCACTTCTAGGTAGACTCAGCCACTAACCAGGTGTTCCTTCACTCTGCTATGCCTCAGTTTCCTCTCCAGAAAAAAAACAGACTAACACTTGCCCAAATTGTCTGGCTGTTACCAAGCACACTAGTGAAAGCACTGTGAGCAGGGTTGAGACATCTGGCCGGCACGCACTGGCCAGCTAAACGGGTCATCAAAATAATGAGATGGACCCAAAGCCACCTTCTCAGCCTGGACCCTTGAATCCTTCTTAGCTCCCTGTCTCCTGACTCCAGCAACCCCCACCACCCCAGATTCAGTCACACCCTGAGATCCCTAACCACATTACGTTATAGCAACCACAGGTCAATATTTGGTACAGCTGGGCTCCCCAAAACTCTTTTACAGTGCTCTAGGCAGACACCCCTGATAAGGAACCACTGTCTATGCTATTCTATAAATTCAACTGCCATTCCTGTTGGGCATAAGCATCCACAAACACAAAGGATAGAAATCGTTGTTCCCTAACAGGGAACTTTAAGTCTTTCTAATTAACTCTGTGATCCATATACATTTCTTTAAAAAAAAAAAAAAGATTTATTTATTTACTTTATATATATATATGAGTGCTCTATCTGCCTGTGTGCCCTTATGCCAGAAGAGGCCATCAGATCCCACTATAGATGGTTGTGAGCTACCATGTGCTTGCTGGGAATTGAACTCAGGACCTCTAAAAAAGCAGCCAGGGCTCTTAACCACTGAGCCATCTCCCTAGGCTCCCCCCCCCATACGCACTTCTTAAGATCAACTACACTCAACTGAAAGATTTCAAATGCTTGCAGCCTTTCTGTGCTCAACAGTCCGCAGTGTGGGACTTTGGAGGTGACACATGCTGCTACAGGCTCTCAGGGCTTTCTAGCTGTGCTGGTGAAGACGGCAGGTCCACAGAGCACTTACTTGGTGAACTTTAAAACTGTAGTGTCCAGTGGTATAAATCCAGAATGAAACTGGAGCTGGAATATCTGTGTGTTGGTCACCTAAAAACACATATGCAAGAAGCACAATCAGTAGGAAGAAGGGAGTCTACACCAAAGACCAGGTTTGGGGAGCCAGTACCTTCCATTGTTTCTTTATCGGATGCTTTGTGGAATATGAATATTAAATGTATTCCCAGCTTCGTTTCTAGCTTCTCTTCTCCAGGAGAGCAAATCAATTCCTTACCCTCCAAGGTCCCATGTTCTTGTATATTCTGTCTTCCCAGGGTGTCCTTCTCCTACCTGACAAACTCATCCTTCAAGGCCCGCCTCCACACTCTGCTTGGCCGCCACTATCTAAAGCAAACTGTCCTAATGGCAGTGCCCCAGTGATACAGCAGAGTGGATGTTCATACATGCTTGACCTGACCCCTCCTCAGATCAGTTTTGGAAAGCTAAAAATACAATATTACTCTTGTTAATCTAAAACAATGGGTGTAATATGTGATCTTAGCAAATATTTGATTAATTAAGATATAGTTACTTGCGCCAGGCAGTGGTGGTGCACGCCTTTAATCCAGAAGGCAGAGGCAGGCGGATCTCTGTGAGTTCAAGGCCAGCCTGGTCTATAAGAGCTAGTTCCAGGACAGGCTCCAAAGCTACAGAGAAAAATTATATATAATTTTTGCAACATCTTTCCTAATAACCAAAGAATAGAATCAATAAATGTGGTATATCCATTCAATGGAACATTACTTTACTAGGAATGAAATATTGATACATGCTAAAAACACAAATAAACCTCCAATATATTACAATGGTGAGAAAAGTCAGCCGGCATAGACCACATATTGTATGATTCCATTTATATGAAATGTTCCCAAATAAGAAAGTCTTCAGAAACAGAAAAAAGGATTCACAGTGGTCAGAAGGCAAGCAGGGAAGGAGGGATGGGTGGTGACTGCTAGTGGGTCAAGGTTTCTTTTAGTGGCAAAGAAAACATTCTTAAGTAAGAGAATTCTAACAGTAGCAGTATCTTTTGAACCCACTAAAAATCACTGCTCTTGGGGGAGGCATTCTGAAACCCGAACTCAGGCCATCGGGCTTGGTGGCAACACCTTTACCTACTGAGCCATCTCTCGGGGAAAAAAGTTCTAACTATACACATGTTTAATTAAAATCTCTTGCTTCATAGTAATCCCCTAAAAGAAAGACTCAGGTTCTCAGGAATGTGCTTTGTTGAGGTTCTGGGGCTGTCTCCCCATGACTGTGTATAAGTCACAACCTGCCTCGGTCTCCATTCCCTCCCGCAGTGATGAGGAAGACATCATCAGCAGGTGTTAAGGGTCCTTCTCACTCTAAACTCACAAGGCAATCAAGCCCAAAATGCCAGAGAAAAGACCCAGTAGTACTGCCATTACAAATTCAAGTGGGCTCATAGTCTGAGTCCCACTGAGCGCTTACCTTGGCCTGCAGCCGGCTCCCAATGGTTGACCGCAGGTGGTACATAGAAACAATGACATCGCCTTGGGCTGTGATGTTCAGGGGGATGAAGATTTTCCCATCTTGGACTCGGTATTCTCTTTAAACAGAGATCGTAAGAGACACGAAAGCATTTAGTCTGGTACTATCGTAGACACAGGAATGCATCTTTGTGACTCTAAGGGACATGCTTGTCCAGGCTTGCACCAAGAAATTACTTCCTGTCTTGTGCAAAGGTAGGAATGCAGCCAGTGTGAACTAGATGCAAACTTTCTGAGCTGGTAGAGCACTGATCCAATGTAGGCCTTCTCTCTCCATCTCATCTGGACTCCTGGACAGATCTTGCTTTCCTTAACACACCTTACACAGTAAAATCACCAAAGTCAGAATAGAGAAAGGAATGTTATACTCTCCCAGGGTCTAGAATTCTAACTCCTAAAGTAACCTATTGCCAACTAAGTCTATGTTGTGTTACCAGTCACTCCCTAGTCTCCTAAACCCCAAGGACCTTCCACTGGTGCCTCTTCTTCTTTTAGATTATATATGTACTTTGAGTATATCATTATGGTGGTTTGAATGAGAATGGCCTCCATTGGCAATGTTTGAATAGCTGGTCCCAGTTGGTAGACAGTTTGGGAAGGCTGATGTGTGACTTTAATGGAGGAGGTGCATAGCTAGGGGTGGGTTTGAGGATTCAGACACCCACTCTATTCCCAGTTGGCTACATCTGCCTCCTGATTGCCGTGTCAAGATGTGAGGTCTCAGTACCATACCTGCCTGCCTGCCTGCCTCTATCCCCCCACATGAGGAACTCACCATCTGAAACCATAAGCCCCCAATAAACTCTTTTTCCATAAGTTGTCTTGGTCATGGTGTCTTAGCACATCAATTTAAAGTAACTAGGACAATCATCTACCCAAATCACCGAGTCTCTTTTTTAAATGTCCAGGTCCTCTGTGCCCACCCACCCCTATCATCTGGACACCCTAAGCACCGTCCTTCAGAACTCAGTACCACCGTGTATAAAGGAGAAAAATCCTTGGATTCAATTGTGCTTATCTTTGATTACTATACGTTGGGCTTAAAAAAAAAAAACAACTACTTGTCCCAGCAATAAGCAGGGAGAATCTAACTTTCACGGGAATTCAGCATGCAAGAAGCAACAACATTGTGACTTACTTCATCCGTTCAAAATCCGTGCATGTGGAGTATATTTTAGTTTCTCCAATCAGTACATCACAGTAGGGGCGACACCCATTTCTCTGCTTATTGAAGAAGGGAATTGGGCTGACAGTGATTGCCTTGATCGTGAGTGGCTTGAAGTGAGGGCGGTAGGGCTTGTCTGCAAGTAGGTCACACATGTAGCCCAAGTACCTGAAACAGAAGACCGCCATCCTCTGAGCCCATCGTAACAGGACAATTAGACAATTTCTGCTGTGAAGTCTGTCTTTGTAAATTAAATTACAGTAGAGAAGTCCTCTGCTCATTCCTTCACATTAGCCACCAAAGGGGAATAGAGACAATTAGGAAAGTTTGTGGATCAGAGCTGGAGCCAAGGCTCAGTGGTTAAGAGCACTTGCTGCTCTTACAGAGGACCCAGGTTTGGTTCCCAGCACCCATATGGTTGCTCACCCACTCTGTAACGTCAGGTCCAAGAGGATCTGCCACCCTCTTCTGCTCTCACAGGCACCAGGTATGTATGTGTAGTACATATATACATGTAGGCAAAACACCCATATACATAACATAAAGATAAATAAGTCTTTTTTAAAATGAGAAAAAGCTTGCTTTCGTTGATATGCTGAACTGATAGAAGGGTGTTTGCTCAGTCTAAAGCTTGTGGCAGTGCTATGCTAGCCCAATATTTGGACATATATTTGTGTTGTATCTAGCAGATTAAGCATGTCAGCAAAAGGCAGATTTAGATAAGCTTTAGAATTTATTATCAGGAATTTTATCCAAAGAAGTGAGAAGATAAAATTTAAGTAAGAACAGAGAAACTAATTCCAACTCTAGGGAAGGCAATAAACCAGATATCTAAAGAAGGGATTTCTTTAAAGTCATTTGCACATTATCTAGTATAACCTAGATCTATTTATTACATCCCCACATCTCAGTCATGAGAAAAATCAAGCTCTAAAGCACATACTCTCTCTGTGTTGATGCATTTTCACGCAGTGATCACCAGTGTATCTCAATGAAGACCTAAAGCACAAACCAGAAGGCGCTGGGAGCTGGGACTGGAGAGAACGTTCGAGCTATGTCCAGTGGGTGTTTTTAGACTGGTGCTTAGCACAGCCTTCTTGTCATTCTCTCTCATGCTTCCTCTCCTCTTAAAGGAGCAAAGCAGAATGTTAAGTCTCAAATCCTAGGACAAACAGCTGAGGTGCCTATGTAACATATCCAAGCAGACCTGGCCACCAGGTTCTCCCAGGATCCCTCAGTCCCTACCTGTTACAAAATATAACTTGCATACCCCACCTTCTACCCCCTGAACCCTCCAGCCCAGGGGCTCCAGACATTTTGGTTACCCCTCCCCCGTTTTGTACCTCTGCCCTCTTGACTGCTGCTCCCAGTTTCTCTCTCTCCTCTCTCCATACTCCTCCCCTTCTCCCCACATGGCCCAGCTCAGTCTGGCTATGTCCACTCTGGATTCTCCCAGATGTCCCTGCCTCTGGCTGCACTCTTCCTTTTCTCTACAATAAACTTTCTCCTCTGCCCTACCAAGAAGCAGTCAGGACCTTCCTTTTTTTATTTCCTTTTTTCATTCAGTAAACATTGGCATTTTTAAAAGTTCCCTTTCAGTTTCAAAATCACAGACTTTCATGAACCTGCATGCAAACTTAAAATTCTTACCCATCTTAACTGTCACCATTGTTCAGGATAACACCAGGTCAATTAGAAAAAGATTGAATGAGAGCTCCCATGGGGCCAGCCTCCCGCAGTACCAGGCACCACACCCTGCACCTCCATCTCTGTACCTCCTATGGGATGGAGACAGTCCAATTCCTGGTCGTTTTGCATAGAGCAATCGAACAGCGGGGCCAGGAGTAGAGTAGAGATTGCAGAAAATGAACATAGCACCAACCAGAATTGATGACGCGGCCCGTCCATCCTGTCAAAGAAGACCCACAGACTCGTCAGAAACATCAAATCTGGGAAAAGCCCGCTTACAGAGAAGAGAGAAAACAGAGGCACCTCCTAACTATCGGTGCCTTTCACTTCAGAATTGTTCAAGACCAAAAATCTGGCCCTGCTGTGAAATCAGACAGCAGCAAGGAAAGACTTTTCTCAGGATAAAACTGACGCAATGTTCACCAAGAGGCTCAGCAAAATAAACTCCACTTGCATATACTTTCTGAGACCTAGACCAACTCTGGACTAGAGGCACTGTCGTGAAGTAAGCAAATAATAGAAGTAAAGAGCCTCCAGTTAGATGCCACCTTTGGAAGGTGCTATGTATGTACTCCACTCATACTGTATGTTCATTAATACAAAAAACTTCATTCATTGTAAAAACCGATGTGTTATAAATTGACTGTCTCCTCCTGAAATTCATGTATTGAAATGTTAATTCCTCATGTAAGGGCACCGGAACTGGAGGCTGGGGTTCTGGTATAGTTAGGTCATGAGCAAGAGGCCCTTATGGATTCTTTCTCTTTCTCTGTCCCCTCCCTTCCTGGGAGAGGACGCCTATGTGTGTGCCCCCTTGGAAGGAAGCAGACCTGCTAGATCTGCAAACAGCCTGAGCTCGGCTTACAACCTCCATATTCTCCATGAGAAATGGAATCTCTACCACTTAAGTCACCCAGTCTATGGTTGCCTTGTGACAACATCCGGTAACCCAGCTGATGGAAGAAAGCTAAGCCTCTCCTAGAACAAGTAAAAGGGAAATTGCTTCTATTCGAGGTGGCTCACACCAGTTTACAAACTGTTTCCTATTATGGATGATGAGTTAAAGTCTGCTCCTCCACATTTTGTTTGTTTGTTTATCAGGCAGTCTCACCACGTAGCCCTCACTGGAGCTCACTGGTAAACAGAAGAGGGTTAGCCTCAACTCAGAGATCCGCTTGCCTCTGCCCACCAAGTGCTAGCACTTAAAGGTGTGGGCCACCACTCCCGACTTTTCCTCTACAACTTCTGGTCAGCACCTTTTTTTACGCTTCCCTCCATGAAGGGAGAAGCCCACTCCTTCTGCTCAGGCAGTCCTTCACATATCTGACGTGCCTTTCCAGTCCATCAGCCCTTCTGAGTCCGGATTAAAGCCAGATCAATCCCTGCCATTCTTCTTCCTTTGGATTCCATCAAAAAGCCGTTACCATTTGGAATGCACATCTCTGGACATACCTAACATGTCAGTCTTTGGTGGGCCCCAGCCAGCAAGACACTGAATGAGCTCTGGTCAGACTGTCTTCATTTAAGCTCAGCCAGAAGTGGAAAAGATGATGGCTCTGCCTCCAAGAACAGCTGTTGATGCTGCCCAGAGAAGAATCTATGCCTTGGGGAGTCAGGAGTTCTAAACACTATAGCTATCCATAACAAGCCAGACTTCTGCCCAAGCCTTTCACAAGGCTGGCAGCCAGCACGGCACTTCCTCCAGGCACTCATCATAGGCCTCTGACACTCTTCATGGGGCTTCACCGTGATCACATCGGTCGGATGCTTAGAGCCTGAAGCTGCATCCAACTCCACCTTAGATAAGATATCCACTGAGCCATCGCTCCAGCCTCGTTTCATGTCATCTTTTTTTTTCTATTTTTTTTTTTTATGTGCATGGTTGCTTTGTCTGATTATATGTTCGTGTACCAAGTGCATGTCTGGTACCTAAGATCAGAAGAGGGCATTAGATCACCGGAGCTATAGTTACAAGCAGATGTTACCAGACATGGGTTCTGAGAACTGAACTTGGGTCCTCGGTAAGAAAAGCAGGCACTCTTAATCATTGAGACACTTCTCCCGCCTTCTTTCATGGTTTTCTTGAACTTGCACGTGGTTACAGGAAGCCAGGGACTACACAAGGGTGGCTTAGGGTGACCAACAGTTCATGAGAAGTGTGCTCATCACTGGAACGTCTCAAACTGCATGTCAGTCCCTTTATTTTGGTCACTGTAATGACCATGGCAATCAAATCCCCAGATGAATCCACAAAGTCTTGGATTTTTAATTCGCTGTGATTGCATTATGAGAGCTGGGGCGCCTCTAGCCTCTCTTAAACTTTGAGAAAAAAAAATGTAAGTGAAAATCCCCAATGCACTTAAGACTGCCTAGGCCCTAAAAGCAACCTGTTCTTTGAGTGATCCATTGTGGCTCTAAAAGCTGAGCCCTGCGGCCTCAGACATTAAATGCTTACAGACAACCGAGTGTTTTGTATCGCTTGCCAAGGACTGGGGAGTTGAAACAGAAATATAAAAAGGTTCTTCAAATGGCTTCTCTTTTTCAGCCAGCTGGCTCCCACAGAGGTGAAAGTCATCCAGTAGCCTCAGCAAAACAAAACAACAAACAGCATCCCTACAAACGGACGGATGTTTGCAGGAGGAATAGACTATTTCCAGCGCTTATGCCCAGGCTCACTGTGTTCATAGACACAGCCACTTGCTCAGATCTTCTGTGGCAAAGTTCAGAGAAAGTTTCTTCCCTCAAGAGGACAGACCAGTGGGAAGTGGGCAGGGAACGGCCTGGGGTGATGCTATGTGTTAAATGCCACAGGTGATGTTTAGCTGCACAGTGGGAATGTCTGTGCTGTGAAAAACACCCAAGAATGAGAAAGGTTTTGCTAGAAGTTGAGTTTAAAAAAAAAAAAAACTGTTAAGAAGCCTGAGGGAAGGGCTAGAGAAAGGGACTGGAGAAAACCCAAACCAACAATCCCTTTGGAAATTATTTGGAAATGCAGCTGGTCCATGAAACTACTCACAAGGGCATAAATGTCAATTTCTCTTATTTTTATTTAAACACAACTTGTTGAGAAAATTGAAACTGTTTATACCCATCATATCCATACAAAGCTCAGTGCATTTTTTTTTAACCCGTGTATCCACAACTCTTTTCCTACCTCTTTTAAGATACTCAGCACAGGTTAGAACCCCTGCATTATGTATGCTCTGAACTCAGACTTCTCTCTCTCTCTCTCAAACATCAAGCCAAGAATAAAGTCAAGTTCTGTGGCAAACACCCATAATCCCATCACTTGGGAAACTGAGCGGCGGGAGGATTGCCATGAATTCAGGACCTGTTTGGACTACACAGTAGGAATTCATCTCAAAAAAAAAAAAAAATAGGGCACCATCAAGAATAATAGATTCTTCCCTCAATTGTTTTACCTTTAGGGGACTAGCGGAAAGGCCACAAATAAGAAAATAAGTTTTCAAAGTAATACATCATTTTTTCCCTCCCCTCATTTTTTACCTGCCTGGCATTGTTCTACCTCTAAACAGAGGCTCAGTAAGTGCTGTTGAGCTCAGAGGTCGCCCTTCTGGATACAGCTGCCCATATTTCACCAAAGCCTCACCAGGCAGAAGGACCAAAGAATACTCACCAAGCAGTGGACAACGCAGACATTTTTGGGATTCTGCAGTAGCCAGTTGTACATATTCCGACACACAGCAAACAAGTTGTGTAGACTTGGGGCCTGCCTGATGGGCCAGCTGCATTCTGAGACCTGAAGAAATGGAGGAAAGAAATGAATTTTCCCGTCTCCATAAACACACATCACACACAACATCTGGAAGCGGCATCCTGTCCTTTCTCCGTATACGAGACAGGGTCTAAATGCAGAACGACAGGCTTAATGCAATCATTTGTTAGGATCTCCACAGTCATGGGTTACACCACTGGAAGTCGCATTGTGGCATATTGCGATGCAGACAGAGTTGGAAAAAGGATCTAAATGCAGAAAGAGAAGCATCACACAGTCATTTTTATAATCCAGGGTCTCAAGTACATAGCCCAGCTGATCTTGAATCCATCCATCACCCTCCTGCATCAGCCTACTGAGTAACAGGATTACAGGAGGGCTAACCTGACTTAATACACTAGTTTTTTGTTTTGTTTTAATGAAATAAGTCTGTTTCACTAAAGATATTAAAACACATTTAGAAGTACATTTTGAGTCAACTAGGCAATTTCTGCTAGCACTCCGATTTTTTTTCCCTTTGGTGGCACAGAATTCAGTTTCCAGTATCCTTCTTCTAGATGTTGCTCTTAGATCCTGTGGTCTCTACGGTCATCTAAGCTCTCCTCATAACATGAAAAGTCCTACAGAGTGAGCCAGGGTGGCTTATGTGTCTTAGTTTTCTCCGCAGGGGAACTATGTCCTATCTTCATTTAACATACATGTTGGATGTGTTAGAGTCCTGCCTTGATGCTGCTTGGCCTGATCTGGAGAACAAAGAAGACATGTATTGATTAGATGACAACTTTGTTGATGGGAAAATTGACTCTCAGAGGTGAGTCGTCTGCGGTCACACTGTTAAGCCCAGGTCTTTTGAGCATTATCCATTAGCTTCAGCAGCCCGGGCTAGATGACCAACTGCCTCACCATGCAGGGCATGTGCCCTGACTGACTGCATATATTTACTAGTCCGTCTAATAGTAAGAAGTTTGGGCTTGGGGAAACTTTACATCTTTAACCCTTTCTGTCCTCATTTCTGTCAGTATTGCAGGAATATCAACTGCCAGGGCTTGGTCTGTTGCTGACACACACAAGTTGGTCAATAAAGGTCAGCAATCATTATTATTTTTACCAAGCCATTGCCAATGCAAAGCTCTGGGATCAGACTGAAAACACTGAGCCTGTGAGGTAGGAGTGTGGGTGAAGGGCAGACCACAGGAGGCCTAAAGAATAGGATTAGGGGATGGCTCAGTTGATAAAAGGTTTGCAGGCAAGAATGAAGACCAGAACTGGATCTTATCCCCAGAGCCCACAAAACCCCTGGGCCAGCTAGCTATGAGCTTCAGGTCTATCAAGAGAGTCTCTGCCAAGAAATAAAGTGGAGGTCTATCTAGGTAGATACCCAGTGTCTTAGCCTCAGACTGCACCCATCCGTGTACACACACCTACATTCACACCAGGAGGAGGAGGAGGGAGAGAAGGCTATTTGAAAAGACTTACTCTGGGATCTGCATTTTCCAACAGAAGGAGGCAAAAGAATCATTCAGGGGTCAGTAAGATGGTGGGAAGGTGAAGGAAGGGGTGGTGGTGGCTTAGCTCAGTGGCAGTGGGGTACAAACACACCTCAGCAACTCAGGAGACAGTCCCAGTAAGTGCTCATGGGGCTGCAGTGGCTGTGCACAGGAGTGCACTTAAGAGAGGTGACAAGGGGGACACCCATGCTTGTGTCTTTGAGTGGCCAGAAAGAGGGATGGAATCAACAAGGCATTCAACGTGGCGTAGAAAAAACTGGGCTAAGAAAACTCAGACACTTCAAGCTCCCTGTGCTTGACACTGGGAAGGGAGACGGGAGAAATCTCATTGACTGGCCCTTTCCTGGTCACCAGATAATACTAATAAAAATATAAATGAGAAATTATCTGTGTGTGCTGACCTTACGAAACAAAGGTGGGAATTGCCTTTCTGGTCTGCCCAGACAGTCTGCTCTTTTTTGTTGATCTGTAGCCCTTTTGCTATACAATGACCGTGGGTGAAGAGGAACTTCCACGTTACCCATTTTTCTACACCCTTGGCAATAACAGATGTGGCGTGTTAAACCAAGTGTGTGAAACACTTCACATAACTACCCTAAGGTCCAGGAGATGCGAGCTCAGGTCTGTCAGCTTAAACTCCACAATGGCTAACCCCTTCTAACCAACACGGGTCAGAGCTCTCTGGCCCACTGTTTACTTCCCAAAGGCTCCCCGCTGATGACTGCTCAAGGAATAGAAATGACTTACCGAATGAAACAGTTGAAAAATTAGGAGAATAAATGTTGTTGCCAGGGAGATTATAAAACACAGGTCTGCCGATCCTGTTTCCTGTCTGTGGTGTTCACATCCTTGGAAAACTTTAGTATCCCATTCAAAGCCCAAGTTCAGTGTCCTCTTATCTCTGACCGTCACAGCTAGAACAGTCACGGTTGTGTCCATATCCTGGCCTGTGTTCATCTGTTCCAGTTTTTATTCGTAGAACAGCATAGCTGCAGATTCAGGATGGGTTTTCTCATTGCAGTTACCCTTGACCACCTGCGCTGACCGTCTCAGGCTTTCATTCTCATGGGTGTTGGGTATTTGAGGATCGTTGTGGGGATGAGGGTAAGTTTATTGTCAGCTGTACTGAACCGAGGGTTCTGTCTCCCTCCCTAGCTTCTGAGTTCCGTGAAAAGAGAAAGCATGACTTCTCCTCTTGGTCACCTCGCTGCCGGGTGTCTGTGTCTCAGGTGGGTTGCTGCTGAGGGGATGGATGAATAAAAACTAAAGGAATAAGTCCTACTTGGCAGTCTCTTTTTTTTGTAATAGAATTTGTCTAATATCATTTTTAAAGGATTTATCCCATTTTCATTTATACTATGTGCACACGTGTGCGGGTACACACAGGGGCCAGAAGAGGGTGTAAGATCCCCTGGGGCTGGGGCTGGAAGAGGTTGTGAGCTGTCCTGCCTGGATGCTGAAAGATGAACTCTACAAAACCAGCAAATGCTCTTAAACACTGAGCCACCTCTCCAGCCTCTACATGAATATCTTGAGAATGAACAGGTGGATCAAATTTGTTGGGTTTTTTTTTTTTTTAGACTACAACAGAGTGAAAATACAAGATTTCTTTTCCCAGAGGCAGTATTTTTAAAGCTTTTAAAAACTGTACACTAACCACCCACACATCACCTGTCAATACCTGAAGTGAATCTCAGCTAAAAGCTGGCTACGCTGTTCTTAGCACAATAGGCCAACAGCTCTAGAATCATTAAATCAATCAAGCAAATAATATTAATTTAATGTGCTCCGTAATTATATCTTTAGTTGATATATAATTACATAGCACTAGGCAAACACATAATTACAATTTTTTTTAAAGAAACATGTTCTCTGTCTAAAGGAGGGAAAACATTAAGACAGAAACACCTCCCCTCCAAATTAGGAATCTGATCAGTGCCAGTTTTTCTGTGATTCTCTAGGTCACACTCGACGCAATAAGCCTGATCCTAGACTGCATGGCACTTCATTACACCATCTTCAGCCTCCCTGAACACTCCTGGGGTCACTGAGCATCAGAGAGTATCATGTCAGCTACAGGCCCACCATGATACTAGAAGCAGAGGCCAAGGCAGCTGAAGGGCTGGAGCTAGGTGACGCCCATCTTGAGCTAAACAGTGCTCTAAGCACAAGAGTCAACAGTGAAGCAGAGCGACAGACTGGCTGGCCCTAACTGGTGTTTCCTGATTAGTTCATCATCACTGGAAGACAGGAGTATTTCAGTCACCAGTCATGAAATTCTACTATTGCCAGTGTCAACCTGGGCCACCACTTATGGGGTACTTACTCCAGGTCAGGCACTCCTCATCAAATTCATTTCTTACAATAAGCACATGGTAAAAGACGGTGCAGGTTAGGGATGGTGTTCGGTTGGTAGAATGTTTGATTTCCATACATGAGGCCCTAGGTTTGAGCCCCAACACTATAAAGAGAGGAAGAGGAAGGAGGAGGAAATGGGTGGATGGAGGGAAGGAGGAACGAAGGGGTACAGGCAAAACCATGAGCGCCCATTTAAAGGGGTATCAAGGTTTTATCAGGATACACTCAGGGGTTACACAACAAGGTAAACAGCCAGCATGGTCTTTCGTTTTGCTCGGGGGTGAATGGAACCAGCTGCCCCATCTCTAACCACCACAGGAGAGAGTGAACGACTGTCCCTTTCTTCCCTTTTAAGAGGTCATGTCTGCAGACAAGAAGCACCGCCTCGCCTCTCTCGGGCCAGACAGCCCAAGGTGATGGGTAGAGCAAATACCACTACCGGAGGGTACTTGTGAGATGGGTGCTGTTATTGTCATAATCACCCTTTTACAGGGGATGGTTTTGAGACAGGGTTTCTCTCTGTAGCCCTAGCTGTCCTGGAACTATCTCTGAAACTAGACAGGCTGGCCTCAAACTCACAGAGATCTACTTGACTCTACCACCCAAATGCTAGGATTAAAGGCAAGCACTACAACACTTGGCTATTATAATCATTTTATACATGAGTCCAAATAGCCGTGGAAGGTCTTGTTTGGTAAAATGAACAATTGAGACATGAGTCTAAGGTAATTTTTAAAGCTTATAATTTGTGTATAATATAGGATTTCATCCCAATAAATATAATAAATTCCACTGTGACACCCTGCCTATAGTTTTTAGCAGTAGCTTCATAATGCATTTGTAAGGCAGTAGCTGCCCTTTCCCTAAGGGGAGACATTCAGTTCACAGAAGGTTGTGCAATTGCACTTTGTGAGCCTCTGGCCCCCAGTCCAGAGATCTGTTTCTACCTTCCCGTTTCCTGTTCAGACACTAATGTATGCAGTCAAAGAGAGAAAGTGATAAGTTCTCTCTGCAGCAGGGACGTCTTCAGTGGACTCTAGAAGGAAGGAGGGAAGACCCTGACTTGCAGTCAAGGGCCCTGTAAAAATTCAAGTCATTAATACACCTTCCAAAAACTGAGCTGTTTTCAAAGGCAAAACATAAATTTTACAGGATCTGGAAATAACACATATGAACAAAGAATATGAAAGTACCAACTGGTTTCTGGTTGGTGACTGGTTTCTCCACTACTAACAGGACCGTTTACTAACTACTACTAACTATTAACCTAGTACCATCCTTCATAGGTGGACAGAGAAGGGTGGGCCTGGGCAGCACTGAATGGCATTCTCAGAACTTCAGAACACTGGGCAAGGTTAGACCTGATCTCTATTCATCCAGATTTTTAGTTTTTCCAGCAATATTGGCAAGAAATGAGTGATGCAAAGATTCTTAATATTAAAGGGCCTAGCTACAAACCTGCACAGACACCCAGACACACACACACACACACACACACACACACACACACACACACACATGCTGAAAGAGAACAGGAGGGAGGGGATAGAGAGGGAGGGAGAGAGAGGGGAGATGGGTACAATGTTAACAATGGGGATAATAAAAAGGGTTTAGATCTAGATAGCGGTGATGGTTATACAACATCGCTGAGTGCCATAGTGAAACTGGATTACTTCAAGTGGTTAAAATGGCATCATTACTATATACACTTTTCCTGTAATGTTTTTAAAGTACAAGCACGGGGTTGAAGCTCTCCATAGCCCACCAACTGATCTAAAAATACAGCATCTCTATTAGTGTTTGTCATTCAGGTTAAGAATATTTGTCTCAGGGCTAGAACTGGCTCAACATAACATCATATACTGCTCTTCCAAGTGACTCAGGTTGAGTTCCCAGCACATACTTTGGGCAGCTCATAGCCATTTGGAACTCCAGTTCCAGGGGATCTGATGCCATCTTTTGGCTTATACAGGCACCTACACACATGTTATATAAAAACCCACACAGGTATATGAATAAACGTAACAAAGGAAATAATTTTCAAGAAGAGTATTTGGCTTAGCCAATTCATCTTATGCTTCTTCAAATGCCATCAACAGCATTGATACTTTTAATCCCCAAGGGTAGATATTTTCTATAAATCATAATAAAAAAGATTGTACCTATTTGGTAATCCTGAATGGGCATTCCCGTGCCTTGATTTCATTATAAGTTTATTTGCCAATATTAGTTTTGTGTAAGCCCCTTTACTAACTTGAGACTACAAAATTCCTTTCTTATGTAACTGCATCCTGCCACATCTGAAAATACTATAAAACTGTCGTGTGATTTTCTCATATGATTTTCCTCACTTTATAATGCTTAAAACCATGGAAGTTCATCAAACCACAGGAGAAAAAAACCCTCAGAAAAATTAAAATTTTCCTGCTACCACCTGTCTCCACCACTATGACCTCTACCCCAAAATTCAACCATGTAATCAAAGGGGATGTGACCGAGTTCAGGCTCCACACAGGCAGAGCTAGAGTCTATGAGTCTGTGAGTGACATCAGTCCTGCAGCATGCCATTCCCGATGATGCTTTATGGGAAAATACACCTACGTTTATTAAAATGAGGTTAAGGGGCAGACCTAGCCCTTCGCTAAACTGGAAACAGGAGAGCATGGCTCCAGTCCTCACTGCCTGGAGGATAGGAACTACGACGTCAGATTATCTAAGCATGTATCAGTGAGCTGCCAATCAACTCACAGAGTCAGTGCTGGGAGAGATGAGCAATGGCTTTGCAAAGAGATGAACCAAAAAGGTAGGGCTGAGGGGGAAATGTAGATTTGGGGACCATCTTCCCGTAACTAAGGACTGAGAAACACAGGCCAGCATGTCCAGTTCCCTTCTGACCAACTCTGCTGGGACTCTCAGGAAGGTTTATAGATGCCGTGACATCCACGGTGTGGGAAAAAAGTGTAAAAGCCTGGGGTGTGTGACCTCTCCCCTTAGTGAAGAAAGACCAGCAAAGGAAAGGGTGTGGGGGGGGGCTGTAGCTCAGGCGGCTTTTAGGGAGAAGGCATAGTCCATGCAAAAGTACTGTGTGCGAGTGCACTGTTGAGTGGTGAGAGTGTGTGAGTGTGTACATCACTTGTGCATCCTTGAGTAGCACACAGATTCTAGTAATGAAGGGCAGTGCGTGACGAAGCTAGAGAAGCAAAGCCCTCATGATGCCTTCGAAGACACATTCTACCCCTGCTTAGAAGAGAAACGACACCACTTCTTCCACGTCCGCTGTGCGTCCCACTCTGGGACCAGCTGCACGTCTGCCTCCCAGCACTGAGCATCTCCATGGGCTCCACAGTTATTCACATTCGCCTTTAGAACACCCTGCATTCTCTTTCCAACCAGGCTTAAGTGCTTTGACAGCAAGAACCAAATATTTCTATTATAGCTCCAATGTTTAAGAATTCTTGGCACGTTTGTTATTTTAGGAAACATTTATTAGCCATGCTGGGCGCTGTTCTGTAGTTCAAATTAAATAAACAAGGTCCTTCTCTCTCAGGGCACATGAAAGCAACCCAAGGTAGATGTTCAGTATGTAATCCCTGCTCCCTTCTGCCAATTAAGACCAGTAGCGAGAGCTTGAACTACACTATTAGGTGACTTTATTTATAAATACCTTTATAGGGCTCAGCAGGGAAAGTGTTTCTCATGCAAGAATGAGAACATCTATAACCCCAGCACTGAGGAGAGGGCATGGCAGGTCTCGAGGGCTCACTGGCCAGCCAGTCTAGCTGAGACCGCAAGCTCAGGGTCCAGTGAAAGACCAGGTCGCAAGAACTAAGAAAGAGAATCAATTAGAGAAGATGCCCTGATGTCAGCCTCTGGTTTCCATGTGTTCCCGCACACGCACGCGCGCGCGCGCGCACACACACACACACACACACACACACACACACTACCAGAATGAGGAGGGGGCTTTTGAAAAAATGATACTCAAGCATATCTTTACATATATAAATGCTTCTGTGCCAATCTTACAAATTTACTTCTTTCAGTAGAAAACCGAGGCTGTCACAAATATATCAAAAGCAAATGAAGTTTCTATGAAATACTGCTCAGAATATTCCATCGTCCTTCAGTTGTGAAAATAATGGCATTCACTTAGTCTCCAAATGAGAAAGAAAAAACAACTCAGCCTCAAATATTTAAGCGTAGTGCTCCACACTTGCAATCCTAGCACCCGAGAGCTAAAGAAGGAAGAATGGAAATTCCAGACCAGTCTGGGGTACGTAGCAAGAACCTGCCTCAATAAACAAAAAAGACAGTTGTGTTCCATTAGAACATTGGGGTCCATCAATGTTTGAAGTTCACCTGCTTAGAATTATATAATGGAGGAAATAACAACTGGAAGGTTAGTTTATTGTGATAGATTTTTAAAGAATTGCACGCAAAACTCTTATCACAGAGTGGCAACTTCAATCCAACCACTTCGAGATAGTTTTTGTTCGCTTATCTGTCTGTTTCTGCCTGCCTGCATGCCTGTCTGTCTGACTGTCTGAGAGAAGGCCTTGCTATTTATTTAGCCCAGGCTATCCTTGAACCTGATGTGTAGCCCAGGTTAGCCGTGAATTTGTTCTCCTCCTGCCTCTGCCTCCAGAGTGCTCAGACTACAGGTCATACCAGCTTCAAAACAGCCTTGTGAGTGCTTCTCAAAGAGGGATCCCCGCAGCAAGGACAAGTGCCCAGGACTGCAAGGGTAAGGGAAGAGTCCCAGAAGTACTGAGAAATGCAGGCTCCTTGCCCCACCCCCATCTGCCTGAAGCAGAAGCCCTCTGAGCCGTTCTGATGCACACGGAGGTTCAAGCGTGTTCTAAGATCAAGTCGAAAAGATCCTTAGCAAAACTTTCCTATCTTGTTGATCGGTAGGGCAGAAGGGGATTTGGGAGAGCCCATGGAGCAAGGCTTTTTTGTGTGTTGGACGGATGTGGAAACTAAACCCAGAGATTGTCAAGAGTGATCAGAGCCTTAAGCAAAAACGTGGTCTAGCATAAAAGTGAGGGTCCATTGGTTTGCATGCCCGAAATCAAAGTTCACCTTTTTTTTTTTTAACATTTACTCGTTTATTTTGTGTATGTATGTGCCCACATCTATGCCTTGGCACATGTGTAAAAGTCAGAGGACAACTTGTGAAAGTCAGTTCCCTTCTTCTGTGGGTCCCAGGTACTGAGTTTAGGTCATCAGGTTTGGCAGCTAACAAGCATCTTTACCCACTGAGCCATCTCTTCCTAAATGTCTATGCAAAAAAAAGCCACTCCTATTTTTAACAGATCCAGATGAAGTTATAGAACTAACCATATCTAAAGGATAAGCCACAAATATTTGAAGATAAGAGAAACAGACAGGCAGGCAGGAACATAGACAGACAGAGAGCAGCAACGCCTTATTTCGGTAAGTCAACCAAGAACTCAGAAGCCAAAAGTATCAGGCATGATATCAGATTTAAACCCAAGCAGGCTCCCACCATGCCCTGCCTAGTCAGAAACTAAGAATATTCCTTTACCTTGTTCAAAAAGCTTTTTTAAAAGGCTGATTAAAATTGAAAAGATAATCTAGCTTTTTCCGTGTCAGCTGTCAGCCCAGGCTGATGCTCAAAACCAGAAGCAGAAAGCCACTTGCTAGCTCTGTGGTTTGCGGAAAGACCCCTCATCTCTCTGGGCCTTTTCATTCTGCTGTGTATGGCGTCACATGTAAACTTCTGCATGCCGTGTAAATACTTTATAAATGTCGGTAGCTGATCTCTCCATTATGAATGTTTGAGATTGTATTACCAAGGTGAGATGTGGAAGGGCAAGCATAAATATAATATATATAATACCAGAACTTGAGAGACAGCAACAACAGGATCTCAGCAAGTTCAAGACCCCCCAACCATACAAATAGTGATGCTACAGTGTCCTCAAGAACCCTTCCCCAGGGTGAAAATTCCTTACCCGACTGTGAAACTTGGCAGTTCGGTATGACTTGGGTGACAGGTTGTATACTGTGTAATGGTCAAGATGTCTGGAATCCAAAAAGCTCCGGATGTCATCCACCTGATTCCTGAATCCTATGTCAACGTTGTCCAGAGGAAAGGACATCACTAGGAGAGGTCACACACAGAGAGAACGGGTTCAAACGATCTGCTGCCGGGGGGAACGGCACTGAAGAGCAGCTGATAAACACGAGACACTTACCGATAATTCTGGAGGTGACATAAGTGAAGTCTAGGTCTCCCTTTGTGTAGCTAAAAGTAAGACAGGAGAGGGCACTCATTAGAACAATCAAACGTGGCGATCTCTCCATTTAAACATCAGGAACTGGAGCACTTGCGTCCGGTGGGCATATTTTTAACTCTCTGCAATCTCTTCCCTCTACCAAGGAGGCATCGATGAGAGAAGGCAGCCCACATCCTCCAGCTACACCACCCACCTGTGCTTGCTGCCACCCTACACATGCTCCTTGATGCACCGGGTCAATCTTAGAAAAAAACTGCTCTGTCTTCCCTAAAGCCAACAGTCCCAAAGTGTCTGACCCTCTGGACCTCTATTTCCAAACTGTGAACTGCTAAGGGGAGAGAAAGAAGAAGCTGAGAAAAAACAAAAGTCCCTTTCTCTCCTACCAACATCTTAGATAAACAACAGAAAAAACAGGAAAGTTTGCCTTTGAAGCAAGATTAAAATGCCAATCAATATATTGGATTTGGCATTTGATTTCCGATTCAAAACTGAATATTGTAACCAAAAATAAGCAAATAAATTTTTAATTCTTAAGAATATAAAAGTTGTTACATTATTTATATAAGAATTTTCATATAGGGGAAGAGAGATTAACTTCCTCTGCTAAGTAAATGTTGAGGGACCAGCAGGCTCCTAAAGTTCTGCTTCGGTTCCCATCCTCAGACTGTCTGTGCATGACCTGATCTAATCCCCAAGCCACTCAAAGACAAATCCTATCAGAGAATTCATTACCTTGCCTTATGCCACATTGTTTATAAGCACAGATATTATATTAGAACCCCCAACATTTGTAAAGCTAAAGATGGTGGCCATCCCATGCCAGCATACCAATGAGCTGAGTCCCACAGACTGTGCTTGTAGCCTCAAAGGGACTTAGCATTATGGTTCCAGTGCCATTTCCCTGTTGGTCAGCGTTGGCAATTACGTCACCGAGTTGACACTATGTGAGTCCAGTAAGCAGTTGGCACACAGCCAGATCCCTTGGGGAGCCCAGGTGTCACCAGCCTCACCTGCTAACAGACTGGATGACTCGAGAGGATGTGTCTTTGAGGGTATCCTTCAAGTTGTCCTTCAGATTACTGAAGAGCCTCCCGGCACCACCTTTTACCATGTCAAAGAGGCCTCCCCCATAGCTGGGCTCCATGTCTGGAGAGGAGGCACCTGAGAAGGAGAAGCAGAAGGTTAGCTTAAGACAACACTGAACCCCAGCCTCTCCTCATCCTATAACGCTTGCATCATCTCTAAGAGGCTGGGACTGTCCCAGCAATTATGTATGCCTCTCAGGATTTCCGAGTTTTAGCAATGCTGCTGGGCCCCAGAGAATACAAGGCAAGTTGTCATACATGGAGTCTTAGGAACAGGGACCTCCAGAGTTACACTGCCCAATACTATGACTGCATTCCATAGGTATCAATTGAGTGATTGAAAGACAACTGGCCACGCTGAGTTGTTCTATAAGAATATACAGCAAATCCCAAAAACTTGGCACAAAAAATAATAAAGCACCTCCATATTTTTACACTGATTACACTTGGAAATAATTCCATTTTAGAAAATATTTAACTAAATATCTAATTTTGCCCGTCTCTTTTTAATGTGAATAATAATGTTGTGGGACAATGCTCTTGCACCCTGTAAAGATTTGTCACTCATGTTGGTTTAATAAAATCCTGGCAAGAAATACAGTCACAGCAACCAGACTAGGAGAATTCTGGGAAAAGGAAAGACAGAGAGTCAGTCACCACCCAGACGCAGAGGAAGCAAGATGAGAATGCCTAACTGAGAAAAGGTACCAAGGCATGTGGCTAAACATAGATAAGAATTATGGGTTAATTTAAGTTGTAAGAGCTAATTAGTAATAAGACTGAGCAATAGATCAGCCAGTTTATAGTTAATATAAGCCCCTTTGTGTTTCTTTGGAACTGAACAGTTGCGGGACCAGGTGGAACAGAAACTTCCATGTACATATTAAAATTATATTTTATTGTATTTCATTTCATTTCATCTTATATTTTGAAACAAAATGTTGTCATATAGAACAGACTAGCCTCCAGCTTGCTACCTCCCCACCTTAACCTCCTAAAGCTGGGTACATGTGTTCACCATCATACTTGGTTTGGAAAAGTTGAAAAATTTAAAGTATCTACATAGCTTGTATTATATTCTATTGTTTGGGATTGACACAGAGAGACCACAGGAAGAAAAAAAGCATGCACTTTAGGTTGATTGATCCGGGGCCTGCTCTGGCCTTCAGTAGACCTGACTTCTAGAGGCCCCTTATATACCATTCCTCGCAGCAACAGATCCTTCCATCATGGTTGAGAACTGCATAGTGGCCACTGCTGTGACTTATCAGACACTTCAGTGTCTCTTCCCTTGTGACTACAGGAAATTGTACCCCTGTGACTAGCTCCCATCAGCACTACTGATGTTTGGGTCAAGTACTTCTTTTTTGAGGGACCACCTGTACCACGGGGTGCTTAGTAGAATCCTTTGCCATCATAGAGTCTAGGACTATCTAGAGATCCAGGAATCCTCTGGAGACTTGGAACCTAGCCTCTGCCAATGCAAGGAAGATGATTTTATTTTATCATTTGTACTGAACTCTGATAAAAAACGAGGTCATTTTCTTTGTGTTTCCTAGTCAGAAAGTTTCTGTTTTTAATTTCAAGTACCTCCTATCCCCCTATATGCTGCTGGCATGTGTCTATAAATCTGTGTCTACTGCCACTTTCTGATCTTGATCACGAAAGCTTCGGGTGCCCGAGGCATCATTAAGCATCTGTTTCCAAACAGAAATCACAGAGAACAGGGCATGCTGGGGAATAAGGAAATGGACACATGAACGAATGCAACCGTGTCCTCCACTTCCTGGACTTTCCCATCAGCACTGAACCTTTAATGGTAGTACAGTCCCTCACGGATGGAAACTGTTTATCATTCCTACTGAGAGGCAGCGAGGCAGGGTCTCAATCCAGGGCAGACCCGGAATTCACAGCGATCATCCTGCCTCAGTTATTCACATGTTAGGATTATAGGCACAAGCCCATGGCCGGCCTACTACATGGATGTTTACACTAGGAGAGCTGGAGTCTCCAAGAAGAAGGTATTGACAGCCTCAGTTAGCTAGAAGAGCCAGCCGTTCACACCCATGTGTTGCAGTTCTAAAGTCTAAGTGAGAACCAGCCACATCACACTATGCCCCAGGCCCATACCAATCCATGATTCTGCCAGCTGTGGTTAAGATGGTCCGTGTGTGTGTGTGTGTGTGTGTGTGTGTGTGTGTGTGTGTGAGAGAGAGAGAGAGAGAGAGAGAGAGAGAGAGAGAGAGAGAGAGAGAGAGGGAGAGAGACAGAGAGGGCGAGAGCGAGAGAGAGGAGACAGAGAGACAGAGAGACTCTCCTCCCAGACAAGAAATAACCATTTTGGGGAGTTCAACTTCTCCTAATCCCAAAGGATCATCCCAGCTGAGTTTGTGGATTGTTTAGATTCTCTCTTGGAGGCTCTGGGAAGAGACCCTCACCTAAGTATTCAGCCTCCTACCTGTTACAGCACCTTTGCCTGGGGTATGGAAGAGAGTATAGAAGCAGGGAAGACTAGGGGAAGAGGATCCATCTATACAACCAGAGAGAAGCTCTCATCCCTGATGAGTAAAGGTTTTCCAGGTGTGCCTGCTGGGGGACCAATACTCACAACCCTCACCTACACACTGTAAGGAAGCGCAATAAACTCCTTGGTTCTCTGCAGTGAACTTTGGAGCAATCAGGCTTCAATTTGTTACTGGGGCCTCAGAAGGTGATAATGGGTGTTGCTTATGTCCCCCTGAGAAGGAATTTTAGCAGCTCTGCCTTGTATCCAGCCCCACTAACTGTTCCTTGATCTTCTCACCTTCCTACTGTGAGCATTTCACCTGGCAGGTCAATGATGATGGCACTATTAGGAGGTGTGGCCTTGTTGAGGTCTCTTTTGCTTGAGCTTCCCTCAATGTAACGGTCAGTCAACTTCCTGTTGCCTCTGAGTCAAGATGTAGGACTCTCAGCTCCATCACCACATCTGCCTGCATGCCACCAAGCTCCCTACCGTGATGCCATGATGATAATGGACTGACCCTCTGAAACTGTAAGCAAGTCCCCCCAGTTAAAGGTTTTCATTTATATAGTTGCCGTGGTCATGGTGTCTTTTCCCAGCAATCAAAACCCAAACTAAGACACCAACCAAACTAAAGCATTGTGTGGGCACCCCGAGTGCTGGTGACCCCTCTGCCCCGCAGCTGGAGCGAAATGCTGGAACCTGGTCTAACCGTAGTGAAGATTAGTGCTACAAACATAGGAAGGCTCTCTTGTGTTCTGTTTCCTACTGTGTTAGTTCATTTTCTATTGCTGTGATAAAAACCACGATGACCAAGGCAACTCAGAGAAGGAATGGCTTATCTGGGCTTATAGTTTCAAAGGGTAAGAGTCCACCATGGTGAGACTCAAACTGAAAATAGGAAATAGGGAGAGCTAACTACAAACAGCAAGAGTGGTTGGGCACCTCAAAGCCTGCCCACAGTGACATACTTCCTCCGGCGAGACCACGCCTCCTGATCTTTCACCAACAGTCAACCACTGAAGATCAACTATTCAAATGTCTGAGACCTAGGGGGAACATCTCATGCAAACCACTGCACCTGCTAAAGAGGGCAGATGATCTCCCTTTAGGAGCACGCGTGTATAAAAAGTGGAATCCTGTTTTCATGTTAAATATTTTGAGACTAGAGAAGCATAAAATGCACCCCCCCCCCCCGATTTAGGCTCCAAAATACTCTGTCTAAACCCTCCTGATAGACCACGTCTCAGCAGGAACATCAAGTTGATTATCTAGACATCTTGCTGACTCTCAGCTTCATGCTGGAGCAGAACACGGAGGCACGGGCCTATTAAAAGATGCGACTGCCTTTGATCATCTAAAACTTACCCTCGCTCTGCTCGTTAAAAATGCTGCAGGAGCCAGGATGACTCTCCAGAGCCATTTATAACACCCATGACACAAAAGGAGAAGGGGGGCACGGTGTGATTTTTCCCTAATGGCTCATTTGGGTGGGTGTGCCAGCTTTTCTTGGTGAGCTACACTACGTGTCAAAAGTAAAGATCCTGCAAAAGGTATTCTTGCCTCTGCTAGTGGAAAGAAAGGGAGAGAGTTTCGAAATCTTACAGAGCAATAGCTGTACTCTGGCAGGACTGAATTCTAGCCTGTGAGCCAGCTCCAGTCACTTGTCTGTCTTTATATACTCTGTGAGATTTCAATGACTTTCCTATGTTTTAACTGTTGGAGGGAAAATATCAAAAGACATACTTCATGCTGATTACATAAAGGCTGACTTCCAATGTCTCGAAGTAAGTAAAATGTTATTGGAACACAGGGCAGCAGAGGTGGCTCAATGGTGTATCACTTGCCTGGAATGCACAGGAAGCAAAAGCAGAATGAGACTTTTGTGTTTATGTCTGGTCTGTGGCTGCTTCTGTGCTGCTCTGGCAGAGCTGAAGAGTTGTGACACATGACAGCCCCAGAGCCTAAGCATTTACCAGCCATCTAGTGTGGAAGTTTCCCAACATCCACACTAGATTGTCCACCTTAAATGCTACCTGTAGGAACAGTGCTGGCCAGGGTCCTTGGGGGATCCAAGGATCTAAAAGGGTGTCAAGGTCAGGACTGAAAGTGTGTGAGAGCACCACAGAATGAGAAACATCTCCGTCTGTGCTTCAGGCTCCAAGCAGACTCTCTGGCATTTTGTCATTTTAGAACCTAACCCCCAGAAGGCAAATATCAGAACCATACCCTGCCTCCTTATTAACCAGCCCCATGTAATTCCCAAAAAATGTCAGAAATGAGTTTTCTTGGGGATTGTTAGCATCTCGAAGAGCATCCTAGCCCTCCCGTTATGAGACCAGCACATGGGTTGCCCAACTAGTTTCTCCTAACGCTGCTGACTGCCGCGAGCGCATCTGTCTCCCCACTGAACTGCTCACTGTCGGCTCCCTTGTCGGCATCCCCTTTCCAAGGGGGACTGGAGGCAATTCACAAGTCATTGGGAAGATGTCCAGGTGGGCCTAACTGCCTCACTGTGTAAGAAAGGCAGCAAGGACAGGTGAGGCTGCTCTTAATAGGTATCTTATCCACCT